ACTATATCTAATTTATAGCTTTTCAATGAAATTAAATAAGGGACGTAAAAAATGTACCATTCTGCATCAAAGGAGAAAATCGTATCTTTTAGATTTTAAAGTGACCATCCCAGATAGATCTGAGGTTGAAGATATTCAAATTTATCGCTAACATTGTCAATATCAACATGGTAGAGAATACTAAAATATTGTACAAATCAGGGCCATTTGAGTTTTTAGTGGAATTTGAAAAAACACTGAAATAAGGATTGAAACTGGGAATGATAATACTTGTTTTTATCCGATACACATAAAACATCTACAAAAACTGTGTACAATGTCAGAAAGGGACAGGTTTGTCATTTTAAGGGGGTTGTTTATGGCAGAATCTCTAATAAGACGAGTTTTCATTTGAATAATTCTGGACACACATGGATTTGGATGCTCAAATTTCGACAGTGAGCTGTGAACACATATGTATAGTGATATGCTAAGCTAGAAAATTTCCATTTCTGAGACTAAGGTACTACTAAGCAATCTGAACCATTGTCTTCATTATGAACAAAATTTAATGTTAAATCCATGTCAGTGTAAGCTTATAGGGCAAATTATGCAACAACAGTTTGAAATTTGAGTACCGGTTAGAAATATTAGCTGGATAAGCAAGTGAGGAAAGATATATGGTACCCCTTTTAAGTTTGTAACCTACATTTGAGACAACCTTATAAAAGAAAGGAAAGAAAGAAATGGGTTGCAAATCAGCAGTTAAGCCAGAAAAAGATTGTATCTTGTGAGTGATCTATGATATTACATGCTGATCAATTGACAAGACAAATATTACTCATCCTATATCAATAGTCATTAGTAATTGAGGTGGCGTAAAAAATACCTTGAGATCAGATGGGTATTATGTTATATAGTGATTGTAATGGTTCATTGATAGTTCATAATAAACTTACCATGACTCACTGAATATCTAAGTGTCATTAGGGGCAAGAAGATTTTATTTGAGTTTGTGTTGAAACCAGTATCACTGTATGACTACAATTTTTGGGGGTGATTTTCACAAAATTTATGAACAAGAAGTGACTTCATTAAATGATCATGAAGAAAATTTTGAAAAGCATGTGGGGTGTTTGTAGTGTATGATATCATTTGAAGTCACATGCAACCATGACATTGAGAAATTGTCCTGGCAAAATTTCCCTCATTGCACCCTGAATGGCATTGCCCGTCTTAGCCCACATGGTGCAGAAAAGTAGGACGTAAAACTCCATTCATTTTATTTCATGTTTGCTCATAAATTTAGCACTTTATTTCCAGAACAAATACTTTGGACTTTAACAACTGGATGATTGAATATCACTTATTTTCAAAATTTTAAAAGTGTATGAAAACCGTGGCACCTCATTGTCCATACAACCAAATTAATAAATGGTTAGACATTTTGGTCTCCAATCAGACAAAACTGGTAATTATTATCAAACTGTCATTATCATTAAATTCAATTCATAGTCAATATTAAGCTTTATTAATACTGTAAGTATTAGTTTTAGAAACTGCAATTCTTCAAAAATTCTTCTTGAAATTCAATGCTAATATGTCTGTATTTTCCTGATGAGGATTGTGTAACAGAAACACTCTGCAGTGTGAGATAAGATCTATGCAATTTGATAGCTCTGCCTTCTAACATGTAACAGCTGATACATGAATATATTTAGATCAAGTACTGGCGGTTATCAACCTAAAGTAAGAGATATTTACACCTTTATGATTCTCTAGGTCATAAAACACAATGTCATTGTGTTTTAAACTTTGATTTATATACCAGTAATAACCTTTATCTTAATAATATGTAAAATGTTATTAAACTTTTACACTTTTCAAAGGGATAGCTATCAAGATATAAGCATTGTGGTGGGTAGGTAGGTAACAAAAATTTAGATGTCTCGGCCAGTCCTTGCAAGATTCGACTCTGTGTCCATGTGTCGGTTTTCACTCCCTATCGTTCTGATTAAAAGGGATTCAAAGAGAAGCAGAGTAATAGTAGTTGAACAAACCCAATCTTAAATCATTAATTTTAGTTTTATTTCTACCTAAGTGGACAGAAATTTGTTAAAAGTGCAAAATCAATGAGAATTTTGTGTTTTAGTAAGGTCTATATCTATCTATGTTATTTGAAGGATACAATAATTTAACAACATACATTAGAAAGACATAATTAGGTTAACATTTAGTAGAGTAGAAAACAAAGACAATATATTGGTGACATCCAGGTAAAAAATACACCTTAACAATTACATCTCTTAATGTTATCTTATATAGAAGAATGTAGAGACCTGAGGTAAGGTGGTTTTAAAAAGGTCACCAAGTTGTATACTCTCTTCAAGGTCAACATTTTTGTTGACTTTGAATAAAACTAGACAAGATAGAAAGTTTTTTTTTGTTCAAGTCTACTATACACGATATACATTTCCCCTAAAGATTTCTTTTTATGTTATGCTATCGAAAATGAATTTTTTTGCATGTTGTCCTTCTATGAGAGATATGTCATTCGTCAAGGTTATTATCATAGTATTGCCATCTATTATTCATGAGATATCACTGCTCATGAACTATAGTGATCCATGAGATATCACTATGTAAGCTTATTCCAGTAAGTGATCTATGATATATGATCAGTATGTACTCTATTGATCCAGGATGTATCAGATGTTGGCACATGCAAGCTAGTGATCTATTAGATATATCATGTACTCATGTGATCCTTAAGATTCAACATGTACTTCAGCGATCCCTTAGATGCAAGATTAACTCTATAGTGATCCCTGAGATACATTATGTACTCTAGTGATCTATGAGATATCACTTAAACTATAGTGATCCACATGCCACAAGATACATTATATACATACTCTAGTGATCTATGAGATATCACTTCAACTATAGTGATCCACATGCCACAAGATACATTATGTACATACTCTAGTGATCTATGAGATATTACTTCAACTATAGTGATCCACATACCGCAAGATGCATATTATACTGTACTCTAGTGATCCATGAGATATAGTAGACTATGAGATATCAGCTATTGGCACACATTATCTAGTGACTTAAAAAATATCAGTATACATGTATTCTAGTTATCCATAAACATGAAGAACATGAAGTGATTATTAGTGATCCATGATGTACATTACTTTGCTTAGATATTATACATTTTGTACTTTAAACTTAAAGTTTATATTGTATTGTGTTATGCATAAAATGACATGTTGATTAAAGGGTTTGGCTACAGTTTAACATAAAAGATAAAACTGAAAGATATTGTGACATCTCAGTAATTATTATTACTGTGTGGGTTTATTTAGGATTTTAGTCAAGCAACATTCCAATACAGCCACACCTTAATGGACATAAATACTGTGACTTAGTTACAGTAAAACACCTTAATTTAGCTTGTTTGTTCATTAAAGGGATTGTTAAGAGGTTTTCTAATTTCTTTATGTGTATTTGTGACACAGAAGGCATCAATTTGCACCATTCCAATTTTCAGTTGTTTTTCCTGCAATTCCACAAAAAATAAGTGTACCATATGATGAAGTCACTAATGGCAAAAAAAATGCTTGTATCACATAAGGCCCTTCACAATTAGTAAATTCATCAAACACTTAGTTTCAGTGGAATTGCAGAAACCACAGACATCTGATTGAAAATTGGAATGGTGTAAATTACAATCCATTTAAATGTACAATGGCACTTGACAAATATTTTGATAACAGTATTAATAGAAGAAATTCCAGACCAAAGGGGATGATAATACTTTAGTTGCTTTCTATTTGCCTTAACGTACAGCTTCAAACAGCTAATGAATGTAGAACATAATATCCACGTTTTGTATCCTGTCGTTTAACAAAACCATACAAGTTTAAAATTCAGTCATATGTCTCATAATACATTTATGACAATGTTGTAGCGTTATAGGCCTATTGTTAATTAACTTATTATATTTCTCAAGTAATTATGTCTACATTGACATTGACATTGTATTGACTCACCTAAATATACTCATTATAATGTCCTGATTTCTTTGGATTAGATTAAATTACCAGAGAACTGATCATCAGATTTTTATTTACTCATATAAATAGTTCAGGTTGAGTTATATCATCTGATTCAGCATAAAGCATAAAGCCAATGGTATTGTGACTAAATTATTATTTATAAGCAGTGTGACAATAAGCTAGAATAATTTTGTCTGGTGAATGATTTCATGATGATATACACTAACTTGACCTTTTAAATTGATTAACAAAACAGAGATAAAAGTGATTACAGTGCAGACAGATAGGCAGTGTTCTAATTGCAGACAGTTGTTAATTGCATATATAGTGTATGCTAAGAAATATATTTGATAAATCAATTTTAACTTGTTTTTTGTCCCGACTGTGTACTATATGACATTCATACACCATTGAACAGATTTGAAATATCAATTTTAAGCTCTTTATTTACTTGCATACACTTCAGTCTGTATATTTTGTGTATTTTTTTCTATGTAAGGAATAAGTTGGATGTAATATGTGATAGATTAATTTCATGAATAATTCAATTTAGATAGCAGACACAGTAATTTGCTTATTTTGGTCTGTAATTAGATTCGATAAAGGGAGTTTAAAGTCCTAGCTTATGCTCTAATGAAGGAATATGTAAATCATGATGTAGATATACATGTAGTGTACAATGAGGGAAATTTGGCTTACTCTCTTCCCATTGAATGGTTTCTTTAACATGCACATAAGAGACTTGTCAGTGTTACAAAACTGATTCTAAAAATCCAAAATTATTAACACCTTAATCATTTGAGACACTGCCCCTCAAAAAGTTACTCCAAAGTTACTCAGTAGGATGTAAAACTCCATTCATTTCATTTAATTTTCAACAATTTACAACCCAAATCAATGACTATTATGTCCAGTGTAATGTGAATAATTTCTTTGATGTTTATATTACAGATTGATGAAGGTGGAGATGGATTTATTGAAATGGATGAATTGGGCACCGCCCTGAAAGTATGTGGTGTAGATTTACCAGGCTATGCTGTCCGTGACCTAGTTAAACAGTATGATAATAATAAAGATAGAAAGTTAAGTCTTCCTGAATTTACCAATGTAAGTATCTAATTATCTCATGAATATTCAAATATTTTCAATGTCTTATGAATATTCAAATATTTTCAACTAACAAAGTAACAAAATCATAAATAAGACTTACCTCATACATTGATGCAAATAGAAAAATCTAAGATGCAACAATGCCCATAGGTTTGTGTCCAATGGAAGGAAAGAGATATTTTGCATTGCTTCGAAAAGAAATCCACATTTTTAAATTTGTTTTGTTATATGAACCCACACATGAAACGATTATGAATGATAAGCTTAATGTAGAATTTGAATTGTTAAAATTCACTGCCTGATATGAAGCTCTTTGGATAAAGTGGATCATAATCCCATCTATTTATTGAAAATGGATCATGGTTGAAACCACTATCCACTACTCTTCTCTGTGACCTATGTCAGTGCTCTCATTGAGACTACTTTTAGTGCATTTGAAAGTTGTGAATGTTTTAATGGCTTTTCACACCCTCATTGAATTTCAGGATAAATATCAATATGCAGATCTATGTATTTGTTTATTATTTTAAAAGCATGAGCTACAGTTAATCAAGATGTAGCTCTCTTTATGTAGTTTATATGAGTTATTTTTATACCACTTAAATAAAGCCGAGCCTAGTATTTTTAACTGTCTTAGCCATTGAAACTTTTTAGACCATAAAATTTTCCAGTTGAGTAAACTAGTAAGAAATGATAATATGCGCCTTATTAAGGATAGATGATGAAGTATTTTGTGAAAGAAAATTTAAGGGGAAATATTGCTAGAGCTCAAAATACCTATATAAAGAGCTTTAGATATGAAGTTTATTTGATTGAGTTAATTTGATCTGAACTCAAATTTCAGCAAAGATTATAACAATAAGCTAACTAACTATGCTAAATAGTATTAGAAAGCTTACATCAGCTTATCTTTAGCTTTCAATTCGAATATTCTTGAATCTTACAAAATTTGTACAAGCTTACCCTCAAAATGGACTGAATTTACCAGTCTGCATTGAACTAATTAATAATGAATCTTCTCATTGACAGTGCAAGTTTGAAAAGTAACTCATTTACAGATTGTATTTGCAGGCTGTCCAGTGACCCTAAAGTTTCTAAAAAAAATGGTTAATTTGAGGTGAAATCCTAAAAAAGCCCTAATTTTATATGTCAATTCCTATTTTTTTTTTGTATTGTTCTCGAAAGGCGATCATTGTTTGTCATAAACAAAAATCTAATTCTTGAAATTTTTTAAGGCGTAGAATCCCCCCTCCCCCCTTTTTAATTAATTTTTTTGTTATTGAGTGCTGTAAGCTTACAGTCTGAATTTTATTAATTGACATGCCAATGTGCATCTAGGAGAGTAAATTCTTGATTTTAATTTATTAAAAGTGGGTCTACACAAATAGAGGAAGAGTTTATTGTCAAGGATGACTTCCTTCCTGCTATGTAGTCTAGTTTTATCATTATATACTTTATTGAGTAATTATCATATGATAATGATATGATTAACATTATTATTATTGTTGTTATTATATCATAATATTATCTTATCACCCTATCCCATGGCCAAACATATCAAGATAACCTCATTGTTCAGTGTATTAGTGCATAAATTGCTAAGTACTGTAATGCCAAAAATTCAAAATATCAATATATTATGCCAAAAATTCACGCATATCAATAAATTATGCTTGGTGGCAACAAAAATTCATTGTAAAATATTGGAAACTTTTTGGTGACAATTGACTCCCTGGCCATGGCTTCAACCTAATATTTTAATGTGTCTTGCTAATCATTCTCATTACTCTTCCAAAAACACTGGCAACCAGCTTCCATCCTTGCACTGATCCACATTTTTGGCACATGTCACTAATGTGTTTATTTACAACACAAACTTGATGTTTAAAAAAAGTTAAATATTTAGCTTTCCAGAAAATAAATTGCTTATTTGTTATTTGTTTCAGTTATACATTGCTGAGAAAGGGAAATTAGATATAGGGTCAAAATTTAAAACAATGGTACAAACTAAGAAAGGAATACAGACGCATGGAGGTACATCACAAGCTTCATCAGAAGGTACAACACATTCTGTTAAAGATGCTGAAGCTACTGCTTTTGCAAACTGGATCAATAGGTAAGGAGAATTGAGATTTATGGCACGGGCTCGAAAGCAGAAAAAAAAGATAAAAGAATAACAATATTGGCTCTTATGGATTATTACATCTATTTTTTGTCATTTATCTTTACCAATTTACAGCAAGGTTGACTGGAATAATGACAGATTCTTATCATTCCATTTTACTCCAAATTGTTGCTGTATTGGGCCCATAACTTAGCAAAGCTTATATCATTAACAAAGATATTATTAAAAATACTCAGGTGCAGAAAAAGGGTGAAGACCTCGAAGGGATCATTTCCAGTACTATATGTTTACAGTCATGTGGTTTTCATTTTCAGTTTAAAAATAAATGTAGAAGGGTCTAGGTAAAAGTATCTACCTTCCACCATGTTTTCACTATAAGCCTGCCAAATCTTCCAGTTTATCATATTTTATTCCATTCCTTCAAAGTTTAAAGACCATTTTCCTCACTTAATTTACCAATATTTTTATTGCACCAAATTACAGAATATTTGCATCAATTTTAACTGTAAGTCACAGGTGGAAGGAAAATTTTACAGTTCATACAATTTATATATGGTCACATTCACAAAAAGAAATTTGAAAAAAAAAGATAAAAAAAAGAAACCACTGCACTTTAAAAGCACAAATGTTAGAATGAATTGCAGAAAATGCCTGGTAGTTTTCAGAAGATCAAAATAAAAATGAGTTATGAGATGTAAATTTAAATGGTCCAACTCATTACCAATTAGTGCTCAACAAGTCTCTATCAAGCTAACTAACATATAATGTTCAGTTGCCCAAATTTTTTGACATCCCTTAAAAGAATAAAGATAAATTTCCAAGAAAAATTTAAATACTTACCTTACCCAACCTTATTGCACATTATTGGCCAAATGAATATTAACTGAATCAATCCAAAGACATTTGATCACATTGTTTCATCTTATGCCTTAAACACATATTTTGGATACAATTTTCAAGATTTTTGAATGCATTGGGTAAATTTGAATTCATTTCATGAATCATTACATCTTGTGATTTAACTTATCATTCTGTGTAGTGAAAGGTATTATTGCAAATTAGATGGCTTTTAAAATGTTTGTCATTGCCCAATGTTAAAATATATTAGTTTTATTTTGTGTATTTTGTAGGAATTTAGAGAATGATCCAGATTGTAAGAAATATTTAACAATAGATTCAGCCAAGGCTCTGTATACTGCCTGTTTTGATGGTATTCTCTTGTGGTAAGTACAGTTAATCAAGAGAAACTATAATCTTTAAAGCAATTGTCCAACAAAATGTGGATCCTTATTTTTTATATGAATATGAATTAACCCTTTGAACTAGAAAACCCAAATGATATAATTTAAAGTGAATGACATTGTGGTAATGTTACAGTCACTTGGTAATGACCTCCTGATTGACTGCTCGAGTTAAAGTTATAAGAAAATAGAATGTGTTAAACATTATATTTACTGTATAATGACATGTATAATACATAGTTTTTCACTACAGAAAGGTTCCTTGTAGGGGAAATGTCATGTGCATTGTCAGATATACAAGAATTGTATTATACAGTATACAGTTTACATGTATTAAATGAATAAAAATCATTATAACAATGACAGTGTAAATTGTTAATGCGGTGTGTACAATTAAACTCAGGAGTAGTATACCATAAAATTGTGTTCCGTTAATTAATGTGATCTATGCCTCTAAATGTTGCTGAGAAATTATTAGCTTACATATTATGATTCAAAACAAAATAACCTCTATTACTTGTCTTTTCAGTAAACTTATCAACCATTCAGTACCAGATACTATCTCTGAAGATGCTATCAATAAAACAAAACTCAGTGTTTACAGACGCTCTGAAAATATCACCCTTGCTTTAAATTCAGCTGCTTCTATTGGCTGTAATATTGTCAATATTGATGCCGTGGACATTCAGGAAGGAAAACCACATTTAATCTTGGGTGTTTTATGGCAAATTATCAGAGTAAGTATGTCATGTTTCATTTTGTGATGGAAATCTTTCATTACATTTCTTGTTGATAAGCATGAGACTTATAGTTGATAATGTCATCTGGTAGTGATTGTGATGCTGGAAGTGTCAAATCCAATGCTTCAAATAAATCCAATGCTTCAAATAAATCCAATGCTTCAAATAAATCCAATGCTTCTAATAAATCCAATGCCTTTAATGCATCAACCATTCTGCTGCTTCTAATGCATCAAACAAAGCAGGTGGTTCCAATGCATAACATATATCAATTCTATCAGAGTATAATTTGTTGTTTTTTTAGATTGGTTTATTGAGTGACATTGATTTAGCTCACCATCCTAATTTAGTGGCATTATTAAGAGAAGGGGAGGAAATCGGTGACTTACAGAGAATGTCTCCAGAACAAATTTTATTACGATGGGTCAATTATCATTTAGAACGATCAGGATGTCCAAGTCGAGTCAACAATTTCTCAGAAGATATTCGGGTGAGTACGAATGTTGTTAAAATTCACCATCTCATATGAAGCCATGTCGAATTGATAAGATGGTTGTTTGGAGGATATATTCTCATAATAAGTGAAGAATTGTTATACTCTCTCTGAATGGGTTTCCTGTTACAAAGGATTACGCATCGCGAATTTCAAAAAACATAAAGAAAATATTTTTCTCATTATCCATTGTGTGAACAGGGGAGAGAATCCAACATGTTTTAATTCTCACCAAAACTAGATTCATGTACTTTATCAATATTGTTGGCTGTTTCTATGAATATAAGTTTATGTAATGTTTTTATGTTATATTTTTAGGATTCTGAATGTTATACATATTTATTAAAATCTATTGCACCAGGTGATAGCAATGTTAATATGAGAGCTTTAGAGGTAAGTGTCCAGTTTGTACAGATATTACTTGCCATGTATTATGACTTTAGATTTTTTTAAAGCTATCATGCTCTCATTGGACTAAAACTGATTAGTTGAAAAAAAAATCAAGAATGCCATATTTACTACTAGGCAACTAGCTGTAGTCATACTTTAACATCTTAACACTGAGGTAAGACACATCCATCATTAATTTTATTGACAGCTTTAAAGGTCATCAATCTTTAATATATTTCCCCTATGATGATGAAATTTGTTAACAAACACGACATTGTGTTTTCAGATTGCTGAATTAAGAGACAGAGCAGAATGTATGTTGGGAGAATCTGATAAAATTGGTTGTCGAAGTTTTGTTGGTCCTAAAGATGTTGTTGAGGGTAACTCTAAGTTAAACTTGGCTTTCGTTGCTAATTTATTTAATAACTACCCAGCCCTGGATAAGGTTGAGAACCAAGAAGATTTTGAAGTTATTGAAGAAACACGAGAAGAAAAAAGTAAGTTGACTACAGAAGATATATTTACTGTATGATTCTCAAGGTTTGAATTCCACAACAAGATACATTGAGTTCATATTTAACACTTCTGTGATCCTTGGCATTTCAATTTTTCAGGTATTTTTGTGTGATTCAGAGAGATTTGATTTATGGTTATCTCAATTTTATATTCTTAAAAAACAGAACTATTTCAGAAAAATGTTATGGGAAATTCAAAAGTGAAATATTTTGGGGTGCACATTATAATGTGGTTTTCTGTTTGAATTTATTTTTAATATTTAATTGAACCAAATGCATATATTAAAATAAAAAATTTGCAAATGAATGTTTTTATAGAAACCACAGTGGCAAAAGGCTCTGTTTTTGTGAAGTTTACATTGAAAAATATATATTTTATTTTCTCTTTATAGCATATAGAAATTGGATGAACAGTATGGGAGTAAATCCCTATGTACATCATCTATACACAGATTTACAAGATTGTTTAGTTATATTTAAAATATTAGATATTATACAACCTGGTGTGGTTGACTGGAATAAAGTTGTACAGAAATTCAGTAAAATGAAAGTCAACTTTCAAAAATTGGGTAAGTTTAAAAGGTTTTTAAAGATGTAGATTACACTTAGGACAATGTTTCATATTCTGAATGGTCTTAATGAAAATAAAAGTTAAATGTTTCAAGATGGTAAAAATTAACAACAGAACCATACCCCTAAACTTATTATTGATTTAAAACCCCTAATCTTATTATTGATTCAAAACCCCTAAACTTATTATTGATTCAAAACCCCTAAACTTATTATTGATTCAAAACCCCTAAACTTATTATTGATTCAAAACCCCTAAACTTATTATTGATTCAAAACCCCTAAACTTATTATTGATTCAAAACCCCTAATCTTATTATTGATTCAAAACCCCTAAACTTATTATTGATTCAAAACCCCTAATCTTATTATTGATTCAAAACCCCTAAACTTATTATTGATTCAAAAGCAAAGATGTATTAATATATTATGTTCAATCATTTTCCCTGTGGTACTTTAAACATGAATCATGCTATGTTCTGCAACATTGTCCTTTAATTCATTCATGATGGGATCAGTTTTTTTAAAGAATTTAATAATTATGTGTTCACATTATTTTTGTAGAAAATTGTAATTATGCAGTAAAATTGGGCTTACAACAGAAATTTTCATTGGTTGGTATTGGTGGACAAGATATGTTTGACGGAAATCCAACTTTAACACTTGGTAAGTATTTGGTTCAATTTAATGTTAAAGGTAACATTGAATCAAATATTCTTAAATTAAACTGGGTGTGTTTATTATTTTTTCATTGTATCTTATACTAGTTATTTCCTTAGACCACACCTTGAAGTGGTGCAGAAAAGTAGGATGTAAAACTCCATTCAATTCCCTTCATTTCTCCCTTGAAGATAGTCTCTTCCTTTCCTCATCCTTACTTGTCCCCATGTCCAAATCTAGTTGACCTGATGAAGGTATTGTATCCAAAGCATGTGGTCAGTGTGAGATAAGCTCTAGTCAATTAGAAAAGAATCATGTCTAACAATTTTCTCTAGCTTTGTCTCCTGGCATAACATTAGTTTACTTTCATGTTTTACAGCATATGTTTGGCAGTTAATGAAGGCCTATACCTTGACTATATTAAGTAAGTTAAGAAATAGCGAAGAGAATGGTGTAGCAAATGGTAATGATAGTGTTAAGCATATTATAGCTGATCAAGAAATTATTGAATGGGCTAATAAGAAGGTGAGAAAATATTAATTATGTATGTATATTAGGTAGCTGATAGTATATGAAAAACTTATATATTATGTTGTATAAGAATAACATATATATCATGTTGTATATGAAAGTATATGAATAATGTATTTATTTTATGTTTAAGATGAATGGAAGAGCTACGTTTAGTGGATTTAAAGACCCCTCATTAAATGATGGTGTCACAATATTAACATTAATAGATTGTATTAGACCTTCAACAGTCAACTGGGATGTTGTTCATAAAACAGGTTTAACTGAAGAGGTATGTGTCCAGCATTATTCATTTTAGCCACACTTAAAGTCATGTAATTACTTTTTGTAGCTAGCAAGGCTTTTTCAAAACCTTGTGGAAGCTGGTGTGGCTTTCCCTCATAGCACACTGCATGCAATTGCCCGTCTTCATTTACCCACACTTCTATATTATAATTAAGTTAATATTCTATATTTTTAATCATATATTTTATCCACTTTTTCAGACAAGAATGATGAATGCTAAATATGCTGTATCTATGGCTAGAAAGATAGGAGCTAGAGTTTACGCCTTACCAGAAGATATAGTAGAAGTTAAACCCAAAATGATAATGACAATATTTGCTTGTTTGATGTCTCAGGATCCCGAATTCAAAGGTCGAGGTCTGACCAAAGGATTGGAAGCTTAAATGGATAAAAAGTAGATCTGTGCCGAAGAACGAAAGGATGATATATCTAAAACTTTATTGTGGGCATTATTTCATTTGTAGTTACATGCTATTTTTGTTAAATGAGTCAAAATTTTTCATGAACTAATGATTTTTAAACATTCCAAATTTATTTTTTGCAAACAAATTAGACATAGCTAAAACATGACATTGGACTACTAATTTTGACAAAAAAAAACAAATGATGTAATGCCTCTATATAAAGTTTTAGAAGAGAATTGTATATATTATGTTTTTATACTGTTATAATTTTATATAGTAACCAAAAACATACCATTAACTCTTTAGTATTGAAAATAATTTCACAAGTTAGTATTTTTCTTTTTCATTATTTAATTTACAATAAAAATTGATTATTTGATTAAATAATAATGTGAGGCAATATAATAATATATATTATTTAGCAAATAGTGAAACTGAGGTTATTTAATAGCAACTTTTGCTTTTATCTGAGCTTTTTGGTTTTAAACACGCTGTAGGAATTACCAACTAACCCACCAATATCTCTTTTCATTTTTCCTTAGAAAGAACTTTGATAAAAATTAATAATGTCAAGAACAAAACAATTTTACTTTGTCCTTATAGGAAACACCAAAGTATTATTTAGATTTTAGAAAAATGAAAAAAAAAAACAACAAAAATATCAATTATCAGTTCTAAATCATGTATAACCATTCAAATTCCTTCAATATGTTGCTGTGCAATTAATGTGAATTTGGAGAAATTGTTTAGTATTTAATACCTACCCATGCGTAGTGAAAAAAAGTGTTCTTGGAAAACGGCCTTAAAATTGAAATTTTAAGTGTTGAATTAGTTAAGAGTTATTGTTACTTAGAAGCCTTAAAACTATTTTATTCTGTATCCATTGCCTTATCTTGTTACTAACTATTTAGAGACAGTTGTCATAGCATTGGTAGAGGTCACATACATAATCAAACTGCATCATTGAAAGGCCATTTAGTTTTATAGACTTGAAATTGGTGTATTTTGGTTGTGCTACTGTAAGTTATGGGCTACAATTTATGAAACTAATAAACCAAAAATAGATGTGTTTTGGTTAAAAATGTTTGTTCTTTTGTCCTGTTTCTGATTTTTATTAAGTTTATTTTAACAGATTAAGTTGTACTTGAAAATGTTAGCTTTAGCATAATTTCATTTATGTAATATAAGAAGTAAGATCTTGAAGATCCTGAGTTCAAAATTTCAAAACTTAACTGACCAAAAACTAAATTTTACCAACTTTATGTGGATATTCTTGGTAATTTTTTTTTTATATAAATTTTGAGACTAGATAATTATACTTGCATATCTTATTTCCTACTTTCCATACAAATCTTTGTATCAAACCATATCGCAATAAACTATGTATATGTATGAGAGACAGTATATTTTGATAATTCACTATTTTCTTTGACCTGGGTAGAGATCTTTAGAATGTGATATACATAATATACTTAACTATATACTGGCTTAAATATGACCATTATAGACATCTAAATAGAAATTAAGAATCAAGCTTAGACGGGATATTATGTGCAAACCAGACAAATTTCGCTGATACACAAGAGCAATAATTCTGCAGAAATTGACTTATTAAGCTCATCAGTAGATATTTAAGTATATTTTGTTATGGTAAAAGAGACCACAATATGTATATATTGAAATATCATTCTAATCATTTATTTTAAGAAATTATAATTTTGTTACTATTGGAGTTATTTTCTTACCGAATGTAGAGGAACAAAATGTTATGTTTTATCTTTAAGAATATTTATTTGTTAATGTATAATAATCATTTTAGATTGATATCATTATTTTTGTAGACTGCTGTATAATTTTAGTTCATTATGAATAAGAGTATATCACTTGTTTAATTGAAATGCTATCACTACCTTGGTTCAATTACAGCTTTAGTTGATAAAGACATGGGGACCAAAATATATCTATTTCTAAATAAAAATATTAAAACCAATTAAATTTTAGTTTTATTAATATGTATAGAATTATAAGTTTAAGGCCTTCATCTGGATTGAATTATTGGTAATGTTAAGATGTCTGCGACACTGGCACAAATGTATTCAATATTTGGTCTGAAGTGCTGACATGGAAAAATTGTAGTCGTTCGGATGGGATAATAAACCGAGGTCTTGTTTGTTTCAGGCTATGCTAAAGATCCCTCGACAGTTGGAAATGGATAAAAGTAGGCTAAGCCTTGGCAAATTTAATCTGGCAACAAATTTCATAAATTTCACGAGCACAAGAGTTTCACTCATCTATCAATAAACGAATATTTTCCTGAAATTCCTTTCACTTAAGGGCCTTCATTTTGAGGTCCACCTTTTTGCAAAATGTCCTTGAGGATAACAAATAAGATTTAAATAACCACATTTATGATAAAAACTACTTCTGTTTTGAATCGGGTCTAGATGTGCATAATTTCTTTGCTTGAATAAGCATACAATTATAGTCCTCCATTTTCTGCAGTTTTTATGGGGTGACTGAGTTCATATGACAAAACATGTTCTTTGTGCTATATAGTAAAGTGCTCAATGCACATGAACAAAGCATACTATTTACAGCAATGTATCTAATTCTTATTTGCCATCATTTTGTATCAAGTTACTCAGTTATGATTGATACTTCATAAGCTGCTACCAATGTTTCACCAAATTGTTTTTGGGGTTCGAATTGTTAGTACTTGGTTTATTTATAATATTGCTGTTCTCCTCAATTTTGAACTGATCCGAACCTAGTTGTGAGCACCAACCCAAAAAGAAATAAAAATCACTAAGATATTGTACTTTAATAGGAGTAAAAATCTCCTGGCAGAAACAGAACTAATTTAGCACCAAAAGCAACAGTACTTTCACAATTACAAAATAATGTTCTTACAGTTTTCTACAAAATAATCATGAAGATAAGTCAGGTATTTCAAATCATGTGCAGAAGGAGGTAACTGATGATGAAAAATGAAATTGCACATGCAAAGAAAAACATTGAATGGTAGTTCTAAAATTAACAAAATTTGTTCAGTTTAAGCCTTATTGAAGATTATGGTAGAATTAACAAAGATATATGAGCAATAAACTGAGGTAATATACATATAAAGATACAAATAAGCACTAATTAATTCAGCACATTACAAAAACTAAATAGGCCTAACTTGACTAGTGTCTGCTTTGTATAGAATATTTTAAAATATTTTATAGCATGCTTTTCAAAGCGGAAAACATTTCAGCAAATCCAATGGGTTATTTGAATAATTAAAGAATGAAACTATTTTCTAGCCTCTTGGTAATAGAACTTCATCAGTTTACATTTTAAATATCATAAAAGATGTACTTTGAAACAGCGACCATTTTCCACAGTTTAATCCAAATGTACATTGAATTGTCTTTAAGACATGCTAGTCAAGTTTGAACATGAACATGAGGAGACAAAAGTAACAAGAATAAGAATTGGCTCAAATATGAGCTCTGAGAAAGGGGTGTGGTTGTGGGAGGGACTACCTGTCAATCAAATCATTAAAATACATATTTACATAAGAATATACATGGTTTTGTCAATAAATTACTTTCATACATCTTAATAATTTTACAGCATTATATATAAGCCCAATACACACCAGCAAGAAAAAAAAAACATTTAAACATTCCTTTATGTCAGTGATGTGCCCTTCGTTCATTTCACAATTACTCAATGATTACCAAAAATAGACACTATTCTGCATTCTTATTGGTTGACTTTGGTCATGTGATATTTTGGAATTATACAAAATTTATCAAGATAAGCCAATGAAACAACACCTTTCTTTGACAACAACAAATCACTGCCTTCTTAGAGACTGTGTCCTCACAAACTGATACAGTTTAGACCAAATTTTCCAGACCACAACAAACTTAGGACAAAATCATAAATCTTCACAATGAGAGGAAGACAAAGCTGACATACAAAAAGCAAATGTGAATGTCTGTGAATAGATAAGCATATAGAATATAAGTCCTATCCCTGGATTAAGTGATACATTAAATGCTTATTAAATTGTTAACTCGTCAGTTTTTATTGGATAATTGTTTAATCCTCTCTAATCTCATTTTCAATCCTGTAACATCTACAGCAGACGCAGCTGGCTTTTCATTTTCTTCTTCTTCTGGCTTATAATTGATGTCAGACTGAAATTTATAGGATTTAAAATTAGGACACTAAGTCAATCCACTTTCCAGAAATTATTTTAGAATATATCATCCAAAATTTGTCTTTACTGTACAATATGAAAAGGTGAAAATATATGTGTTAAAATTTAGTTTCCAGCAAAGTTAAGTTATACAACTGATATAATGATTATCATAATTAGTTGTACAACTTAACTTCAGTTGTATCAGATTCTACTTACCACAGTTAATGATTCAGTACTACTACATGTACTACTATTATTACCACTTTCACTTAGTTTTAATGGACGTAAAGGCTGAGGTTTCTCATTTGTCTGAAAAATACAGGCAGAAATAAATATCACTGTACTAGCCACATAATTAGGTGATATATACCAAAACAGCCAATAATGTTGTTACTAAGTGATGTGAAATGTCACGTAATGATGATCACTTGAATATTTCAAACAACATTAGGATAATCCTTCCAACCATTATAGGTCGATCTACAGGTTTTTATTTTAACTCTGAAGATATTGAAGGTGTCACATCATCTTCAGTAGAAAGAGTAATCCATGTTTGATGAATATGAATTCCTTTAATTAAAACGCATACAGGCCAATTTTCAATTTTTTGTCAATAAGAGCTTCCACAAATTATGATATGAAACTATGTTGAAATATAGTCTTTAAATTGGCTGAAACAGCCACATTGAGTTTACATTCATTTATTTCATGATAGGTGAAACACATTATGAGATATTTATAGTTGTTAAAGTAAACATACCTGTTGGCCAGAATTGTCCAAGCCACATTGAGAACGTATAGCTTTTAATCTTTCTAGATAAAAATTAGCTGTACTGTCAGTATTACTACCAGCTATGCCAGCTGCTGTTGAACTATTAGATGTTGTTGTAGCTGTTGAACTAGTTGAAACATCACCTACATAAAAAAATAATAATTAAAATTAGCTGTATTAGAGGTATTATTAATTACACCTGCTGCAGTGAACTATTAGATTTTGTTGTAGCTGTTGAACTAGCTGAAACATCACCTACATAAAAAAAATAATAATTAAAATTAGCTGTATTAGAGGTATTATTAATTACACCTGCTGCAGTGAACTATTAGATTTTGTTGTAGCTGTTCAACTAGCTGAAACATCACCTACATAAAAAAAATAATAATAAAAATTAGCTGTATTAGAGGTATTATTAATTACACCTGCTGCAGTGAACTATTAGATGTTGTTGTAGCTGTTGAACTAGCTGAAACATCACCTACATAAAAAAAATAATAATAAAAATTAGCTGTATTAGAGGTATTATTAATTACACCAGATTCTGATAAACCATTAGATGTTCCTGTAGCCGTTCAACTAGCAGAATCACCTACAGACTAATATAATTAGTATTGTCATCAGTATTCTGCTGGTAAACAATTAGATGTTGTTGTATCTGTTGAACATCACCTATAGTATAAGACAATTAGCTGTATTGTCAGTATTAACTATTAGATGTTGTTGTAGCTGTTGAACTAGCTGAATCACCTATAGATTAATATAATTAGCTGTATTGTCATCAGTATTCTGCTGGTAAACAATTAGATGTTGTTGTATCTGTTGAACATCACCTACAGTATAAGATAATTAGCTGTATTGTCAGTATTAACTATTAGATGTTGTTGTGGCTGTTGAACTACTTGAAAAATCATCTACAAATATAGAATAAAAATTAGCTGTATTTTCCTGAACATCCTCAATTATTTAATATTCTTTACCTGAATTGAACTTCTTGCCTTCTCTTTCTAATTCTATATTTTTTAATCCCCGTTCAACATAATCTTGGAAAAACTGGGAAGTTTTCTTTAAAAATGGCATTAAATCAGCATCAGGATGTTTCTTTTTAAAATCATAAAGATCATTTAATCCTTCCTTCGTATTCTCTTTTGAACCAATCTTCTTAAAGATTTCACCTAATGAGTCTTGAGTTCCTTTAGAGAAGCTAACTCTGGATTTGCTGGGCTGCAATATAATAAAACAAGATCAATTACACTATGATCCCTCAAAGTGTGGATCACACTATAGTGATTACCAGTCGGATGCAAATAATGAAAGTGGCCATGAGTTCCAAATATGAGAGTTGCGTTCGAAACTTATGACTGCTAAGAGCATTAAAGATGGATGAGAGAAGCTGTTACAAAGGAGTTTTTTCCATCTGAAATCTAAGCCTTTCGGTAATTACATTCATGAAACGTGCATCTCTTTTTGAGGGTCCACACAGCATGGCTCATAATGTTTATTTGGAATCATCATTGCTCATTTCTAAATAGTAATAATAAATAATAGATAATAATAATTTGTATTAATCCATACCTTTTGTGGCTTCTCTTCTGTATTCATTTCATCATTTTTAGCATTTGTACTGGCAACATCATTTTTCAATATTTTCTGTAAGTATGCCTCAATTTCTGAATTTTCACTTGAAGATATCAGACTAGTGTGGGTTAAGATCTAAAAACAGAAATACCAATTTACTCTGATAATTTGACAGAAACTTTATTTTTTGGAAATTCTTGCAAGTGATACATTAGTACATTTTCAAAAACAATTTTGTTGTTTAACATATTTATTATAAATGTCTGATTAAAAATTTTTTTTTTACCTTTTTGCCTTTAAGTGTAGCAAGGGAATGTAAAATGGTTTTTATAGTACGTAATGGTAGGTCACTTGATCTCTCTTTCCAACTACTAGACGGGAAGGCTCTTAAAAACTGGTGACAATCCAGTAGAGTTCGTTCTATATTTAACTCATTTATAGTATTAGGTAACATTCTCATTAACCTCCATAGACACTGAAATAATACAGTCATTTTTAATTTTCAACAATATATATATTTTTCAGATCTGATTTTACTTTCTTTTGAATTGACAAAAGCTCAATTCAAGTTGCTGACCAGGGTTCACGAGTGTATACACAATCCATATTGGCCCCCAGTTGGAATGCTTTCCCTGCATGCTGAAAAAATAGTAGGTGCAGATAGAATTTAAAATGGTGGGGAAGGAAATAGATTGGAAAAATGTTGAATGTGACATATCAGTTATTACACCCTTCCATTAGGGGTAGATTTGAAAAGACAGTACCAGTTCAAAACACTCAAATACCATCTTAGTTTTGGAAACAGGGTTATCTTTCCAAACAGGGACCAGAGAGATTTTCTTACGTTTGTATGTGTATAATACAGTTAAAGCTTCTTTTTGCAGCATTTCAATTCCTGTTTGCTATACTGTAGCTCCTGTAATTCCAAGTGGTTTAGGTGGTAATATACCCCTAGAAGTTTTAATTTAAATATAACCCAAACCAACCTTCATAATAAGTTCTAAGAACTTTGGAGTACAAGTTTCACTACCAGCACAATCTTGTAATAAACTAATTAGAGCACTGAAAGAAATGTTTTGAATACACAATCTTCATGTTTAAAAATAGGGTTGACATTCCAATATTTGGCTTTAGGCTTATGAGCAGAGTAACCAAACTCCATGGAATGATACTTATTACACATATGTTAATTCTCATTGAATTATTTATTGTTTATAATGCTCTAGATTAAAACTGCAAAACAAAACATGAGATGAGATTTGATCTATCAGAAAAAATGTGTTTGTTGTTATCATTTCTACAACTAAATCTGAATGGATTTGTAACATATATATCCAAATTAAATTAATCAAATATAAGTATAACTAACCTCATAATATTAGTATAGTCAGCATTTTCTACTATTTTAATCACAGTAACATTAACAGTACGTACAACTTGTGGTCCCTCATCTAAATCCATCAATCTACTATCTAGTAATATAGTCACTAAACTATTTAACGTGTCTTTTAATATATCTTTAGATACTTTCTTAGCTAACTCTTCATGTTGAAATGTCTACAAAATAGTAACACATACTTTAAAATTGGCAAAAAATAACAATAATTTAGCAAAATTAACAAAAAAGTATACGCTTTTAGGATTCAAGAGATTTTATGGTCTTGAATTGTGCATCAGAAACACTGATAGATTCTATTTGCTCCTATTTTCCATCCGACATCCGTAGCTCAATTTCAGATGATGCCGTCACTTTCACAGAAACCACATGTTTCAATTTGCTGACACGATATATTGGTGAATAGATGTATTGTGATACGACATGCCACAAAATGCATATCATATCCACAGGTCGCATATCAATACTTGACGATACCTCTCATTTTATAAAACGTGGGGATTTTTGTAAGTAGGAGAATGGAATCACAAATTGTTCTCACTGACATGACTGAAATTGTTGGTAACTATTTATAAACGATGGACATTAACCTCTCCTATCAACTATATAACCAAATATCACAGTTGTAAAGTTATAATTTTATAAATATTGAAACATTGAAGATAAAATGTGAAATTTTATCCCATGTATCATATTGTGACCCTTGTCTCTCGATAGGAATCGTATTGTGGTGTGATTGGTCACACCAAGTACTAGTATTTGTGGTAGCGATGTTGTAAATCAAGTCTCTTCTGCTAGAAGAGCAATGGGGCAGATTAATGCTATAAGCATCCCAAATAAAAGGGGCAGAAAATCTCATCTGAATGCCTTGAATATTGTCAAACAAAATGTAAAAAATAATTACTAAATAACTAAAAAATATAAATTTAAAGAAACAATAAATATCATTCAATGAGCAAAAAAATACATATGCCGTGCACATTCTGTAATGACATCTAATTAGATATGAAGTAAGTGTTATAACTTACAGCTAATAAAGTACAAAGTAAACATCTATAGAGTCTTATAACATCATCTTTAGATGTACTTTCATCACCCATACAAGTTGAATACACCATTTTAAACTGCATAGATAATAATAAGACTAGTTGATCTACATGTTCTATTAATATCTCACTTCTTTCTTTATCTTTTAACACTTCATCAATCTGAAATATATATTGAAAATCAATTTTGCAATAGAAGTATTAGAGGGATGCACCTTTCTAAATATTTGCTCATAACGTTTCAACACAATTTACAAGACTGGTGTCTGTCTGATGATGTTTCGTGTAAATTGTGTTGAAACATTATTTGCTGTTATGTACAGAAGTATGTTTTATTCCATAATTATTGTTTGTGATATTTACCTTACCAGTTGAAATAGATCACTTCAGATATTCCAAGCACCTGTCAGAACAAAATCCAACCTACAATTCCCTTACAACTTAACAAAAACATGCCATACACTTACCCTAATTAAAATTCTTATTTGACAGATGGCATCATAATATCAGTCATTTCTGAACGTTAAAATATATAAGTAATGCCTTGGAATTTCAAAAACATACTTGTACGTACTTTCAAAAGTGTTGGATGAAATAAAACTAGATATTTTTTTGATATGATCATAGAATAATTGATCATATTTACCTGTGCTAAGGCTTGTATACAAGTATTAATATTTTTATTTGTTATTTGTGATATGACAAATCCAATAGTTGTAGACAAAGGTCGTGGTCTGAAATAGATGTTCATCAAAATGTTTTATATTCATTTTATATAACATGATAATTAAATGATCTGAATTGATATAAATGTATAAATAAGCAACAAAAATAAGTCTCTAACTATACTGCTGGTTTTAACATTCAGCCTATGATTAATACTAGGATTCTTACCCCATTCACCATAACTTTTTCAGCAAACAAGTATTTAGATTCTTTGTTTTGCTCAACAATGAAAGGACAATGAAGAGAGTTCCTAATGATCCTAACTTTAGGTAGAAAAAGCCTTAAAGGTTGAGAAACAATAAAAACTTACTTGACCGTGGTAGTAGGTGTTGGTAATTTCTCATATATATCATCAATATCAACTTGTATTAAATCAGGAGTAGATATATCACTATCATCTATATCAACATCTAAAAACTGTTTCTTATGGGCAGTATGATTAACTTTACCTTGAGCTGTATGTGGTCTCTGTACCACACTTGGTCTGAAAACACAACATTTTCTCCCCTGATTAGTTGTGGCAAAGAATCAGTGGAGCCACGTCAGAAACCCTGATGTCCAAATGCTTTTTAATGTACCAGAATTTCAAACTCACTAAAGTGAGAATGAAACAAATAAAAAGTAACAAAAAAACAGTTTCGTAAAATGTTGTGAAATGTAATAGTCCATTGAGCCTTATGGAGATTAAAATGTACCACTGACTTTTGATACAGTATTGTGGAAGATTACCAGATGATAATTAAATAAGGAATGACTTTTAAAAAGCCTGTCAACTGCATCAAGATTTTCATGGCGAAAGTAAAGATACAATTACATGACATCTGTACACATAAAACATTTTTCAAAGAATTTAAACCAAGTGATCTAATGGAGATGAAAATAAAGTGACATCTTACTGTTGTGGTTGTACAGCTGGTCTCGCTGACTGTGGACGTTCATTGTTTATTTTAGGACCTTTAGGTTTACTAGCAGCTTTCTTTAATCTTTCTTGTAGAAAACTCATATCTTTATCATTTAACTGAAGAGATAATACTAATAGTTAAACTGAACAAATGTTATTTCAAACAAAATTTCATTTTAAAAGATTACGTTTTCCATAATACTACAGGTTGAAAAGCAGTTTGCTATCTCTCTTATTAAATGTTTTATAGGCTTCTATATGCATCATTCCAGTTTTCTGTCTATGGTTCCTGTAACCCTAAGCTTATATGAGGTAGCTATGTCATAAACTGCTTAGTTTTAGTGGAATTGCCAGACAAACAGATCTCAGGCTGAAAATTAGAATGGTGCACATTGATGCTATCAGTGTCCCTGATACACACAAAAAGTAACACGTATCCTGCAAACCAAATTCTTCATCCCTAACTAGAAAACTCTTGCAGCAAAATAAAATTTACTTACATTTCCTACATATTTGAAGACTTGTTCATCAATGAGACCATAAGCTATAACAATGGTATTTAAAGCAGCATTCCGAACAGAGTTATCTCTATCACTAATCTGTGAAGCTATAGATTTCAGTGCTTGTCCTGGTGTAGGCTGACAAATAGCTATACCATAAGAGTCTATCAAACATCCCAATTCTTCTAAACACTCTGGAAAATAATGGATATTATAAATTATTCAACCATTGTAGGATATAAATGACATTATATCATGTATTATGGACTCTCTACAAGAGTTGCTGAGTTCACACATAGCATCATTAGTTGCTGTAGATGGGAGAGATAGCATCCAGTCTTAAATAAAGTTCATGGATTTGAAGAGTTTGAGGCTAAAGTAAACGAGAAAGCAGTATTTTCCATTTGTAGATGACATAAACTGGATCCAAGTTGTATTCGCTTATCGCTACACTAAAAACAGGCATGGCCTAAATCTATGGTCAAAGTATTGGCTGCAGGATTTGGTGAGACATAGTCTATTTAGTGTTTAGTACTAGGAACCCAAATGGTGTTACTATAGTGTATGACATGAATTTCGTCCAATTATTGCCAAGTTGAGAATAGCTCTGAACTATTCCTTTAGGGCTGACCAGTTTACAGATGAAAATGGATTGAGCAATTCTATAAATACATTAAGCACCAAAATTCTAAGGGACAAACGAATAAAAAGGATCCAACTTGAAGCAAAGTTGTTTTCCTTGTAAACAATGTAATTTTGTAATGCAAATTAGATAAGCACTATTTGTGTATTAAGATGGTAACATCTAAGTTATGACTGTAATGGAATGATAAATACACCAATTATAACACAATCATAGTAAGAAGATTGAAACTTATATGTGAAAAATCAACTTACCTGCCCTCTGTTTCGAGTTTTTAGATTTTAAACCATCAATAAGATGTGTAAACATTTTACTGGCTGGATAAACTTGACACAATAATTTAAATATTTGTCGAACATCACGTCTTACATTGTCTTTAGAATCACCAACCTATTAAACATAGATACTGAGAATAAGTGGATGGTTTATTGACATTCGCTGTGCATAAAATAGTTAGTCAGAATTATGAACATTGTATAAATATATAAACCTCTTTATAATCTCTATACTGTCATAGATATCTTGTAGCAAATGTCCATGAAAGCAAAACTCTTATGAGTTGATACATCTTAATCTAAGACTTCATCTCCTAGGTGTGAAGCACCATTTGTTGAAAACCAATGGCTGTATTTGAATAACTTTGTTAACAAAGTTTCTGTGGAGAGAGGATCTCCACCCTATATTTCTGGATTATGCAGAATAACTGTACCTACCTTAATGATAAGATAAGGTATAAAAGCAGCAGCCTCTAGATCATGTAGATGATAATCTATATCAGCTAACATTACAAATAAATCTTGAAGATATCCTAGTGCTTTATTTAACATACTAGGATTGGTATCATAGAACCTTAATGTATACCACTTCAATATCAAATCTAAATTTGCCAGGGTTTCATCTTGAAGGTTTTCTAGGTTCTGAAAAAAAAAAGAAAACATTTTAGAAATTTTGCACAAGAAACACAAAAATTTACAAGACTTCTCTATCTTGCCTTTTGGTTGTCAAAATCCATCTGAACTCAAAGAACAAAGATAGATAAAGAGGAGGATTTGTTCAAGGTCTTGTGATTAAGGAGTAGGTGGAGTTATTCTTTTTTGAGCAGACACCAAGTGACAAGAATAAATATGTTTCTGACATAATGTCCACTGTCGGGACAACTAGTTTGAAAACACCTACATTTTGGAGTACATATGCATGGAGCATGACATGTTTTTCCTCTGAAACACCTCACATCATTCTGCAAATATGTTTGTCAACAGCAAACAATGTCACTACCCAACTGTCCAACTAGTACCGAATAATTTGATTTACAAACCTTTGACAATAGTTCAATAGCCTTGATATGAAATTTAAAATCTTTATGAAACAGATGCCCCATGATGGTTTTGTTAAAATTCTTCTCCATTTGTAGATTTAATTGTTCAATAATTTCTGGTCTAATTTCTGTGAAATTCCACTTAAGAACCTAAAATAAATATCATATTTGCTCTTTGACAGGAAATTGTCTTAGTCTCACAATCCCTACATGCTTGACCACTTCTAATAGAAAGCAATAAATGAATTGACTGGTCAACATTTTCATCTGTTCTCTTATCAATTTCCAATTCTTGAGAAATACTTCACATTTACAACTTTAAGCACACAAGACCATTGGCAATTATTGAAAAATCTTTTCTTTGAAACACCAATAATTCAAAAAAACAATAATGAAGAAAACAGTGAAGGTAGAAAGGTTAATACCTTGAGATTTCTCTCCTCTTTAAACCTTTGTTCTTTAGGAACTGTTACAGTCATGATAGGACTTAAATCTTCTTCTTCTTTCTTTTTATTAGATGCTGCTGGTGCCTACAATTATTGAATAACCAATGTTGTAAGTTTGAGAAATCTTGCCCATAACAGGTAAATAATATGTGAATATAGGCAACATTTGAAAAAGGTCATCTTTATTGCTTAAAATTCATTGTCTGAATGAAGCTATTTGGATAACATGAATCCCAGTTCCATGTATTTATTGATAAGGGAGTATGGTGATTATCTTGGCTAGGAAGACTTGCATGTACAGCAATAACAAATCCATGTCAACTTGGCAACAAGGTTAATTACCTTTGCTTTTCCTTTGCCAACAACTTTCTTTGATGCTTGTTCTTTTTTAGTTTCCTTTGCAGGTGCAGGTTCGTCATCTTCAATATCATCAAATCTTGAATTTGGCTGACTAGCTTGTGTGGGGGCTGCAGCCGGAGCAGATTTTTTACTTTTAGGTGCTTTAGCTGGTAGATTACCTCTGGCTTTCTCCAAAATAGCCATAATTTGATCTTTGGATGCAGGCTGAAATGAGATATTAATTATAATGAATCAAAACAGTCAAATTCAGTCTGATGGATATAGAATTTACACCAAACATCTCATCCTGTCTGCAATACTGTTCAACATCAACACTGTAGAAGAAACAGTACCAAAAAGTAATATTTTTTCATCAAACATGCCCTTTAATGAAACAAATAGTTACCTTTAACTTTGAGGAGGCCTTTAAGAAGCTGTCATAACCTGTATGGATCATAAATGGTACCAGAGCATCTTGTGCTTTCTTTCTGACATCTCCATTTCTGTCTTCTAAACAAGCTAAGACATTTGGTATACAACCTCGGATTTCAGTGGGTAAAACCCTGTGTGTTGGTAGTTTCTCACATAACCATGATAATAGCTAGAATAAAATGGTATAAATATATTGCTGCATGAAAGTCCAGTGAAAAAGTATCGACATCAATTTAAGTGCCACAGAGATATCATACTGAGTAGATGTTTTTCAGTATTATAAAAGTTAATTATCAAATCTTAACATTTCAAATTACAACAAAGATACTTACCTCTGTTCTTAAATTGGGATTCTCTACTTTCAGAGCATCACTTAAAGCTTCAGACTCTACTAAAGGTGTTAATGTAGTTTGATCTATCCACACATTGAGGGCATTGGTAGCAGCAGTTCTTACTTGTGGCTGGAAAAATATGACAATAAATGATAATATGCATTCTCAGAACACGTGTTCCTACAATACTAATGCATAGAATTATTCAAAACTATTTTCTACCATTAGCATAGTAATCAGCCTTTTCTCTGAATTCAAAACCAAACAACCAAAATGCAAGACAGAAGGTTTAGGTATCAAGGTTTCAGAACTTCTAATGATAAATATATTAAAATATACCAAAATTACCTTAGTATCTCCCATACAAGATATCAATCCTGGGGCAATAACTCTTACATGATTTTTACAATGTGGACCCATAGCAGTGCCTAAAGTCTGACAGATACCAATTGTAGTGTTAACCTGAAACAAAATATAAGATAAACTTTTCATTCATTAATATAACCAAAAAAGAGAAAAGTAGAGAAGATTTTGACTTTTTATCTTCATCCATTATTGGAACCAAAAATGCTTCACTAATAAATAAGACCTGGGCCAGTGCTTTTTTTGAAAATACTATTCTAATTGTGTACAGAATGAGGTCTTAAAGTCAATATAAATTGTTTAAACTTTCTACTTACCATAATTTTATTGGAATCTGCTAATCTTAATTTCAACGAATCTGGTAAAGTGCCAATATTAGCTGTTATAAATTTAGCTTCATTTAGTATAGCTGTTACTTTAGATAAAGCTTCTCCTCTTTCTTTCCAATTCTTATCAGCCATTTGTTCCAGTAACTCTGGAGTAATTTTCTCTCTGTAAACAAAAAGAAAAGAAAGTTTTCAAGAAATATGATTTTATGGCAGTTAAGAGACAAGAAGTCTCATTTGGTCCTGAATTTAAGTGTGAATCTTAATAAACACACTGTCAAAGATTCAGTTCTTGTTATAGTGGATCTATAAAAACTAAATTAAAGTTTTGGAATTGGGCTTGGCTAAAGGCTCAAAGAAAAATAAAAACAATTTTTGATTGCAGGCTTACATTATATCAGTTCTGGGCACTAAATCTTCAATAGCAACTTCTTGAGCTTCTTCCTTCTCTTCATCATCCTCATCACCATCTCCACTTCCAGCTGGTGACAGTCCTCGAGTTGGTGGATTGGGTTTCTGATCTTTAACCTACAAAAATTTTCCACTGGGGTAAACTCATATTGAATTTTTTGTGGGCAATTTTGTGAATACAATTTCAATTAGCAAAATAAAAATTTGTAATATCAAAGACAATGAGGTCTGTTAAGTGGAGTTTAAAAAAGCAATAGCTTTTTCCCCAAGATCATATTCATATGAAGTTTGTATTTAAAAAAATTACCTTCTCAAATTCAGCATCTATTTGCTGCAGTAAAGCTGGTTTTTCACTTTCAAAGAATGTACGTAATGTACTACCCATGTACATATATACAACACCTAATAATGATATAGCTGAGGTTCTGACAGCCTGAAAAGATTGAAACATTAACAATATTGAGTCACTTCATCAATAATAACTTCTTTTTTGCAATGGACAACTTGCTTTGTAAATCATTTCATAAATATTGATACATAAATATAGATACAATTCTTACTCATATATTTTGTCATCTCATGCACTTTTTTTAATAATTGGGACAAGTATATGTGTAGTGATTTGAATGCAAAAGATAATTAGTATTTCCATACATTGCACTACATACATTGCAATAATCCAAGCTGATCAAATGAGTAAAAGATTATAAAATTTCACTTTTACTTACAGGATTGGTAGCAGCAAATGCCTTCTTGATAGTTTCTAACATTGGTTTGATGTTGATTCTAAAATACAATGAAAGAAAATTAAGTTACACTGAAATAAAGACTGAACAGTAAAAAATACAATTGGTATTTTGATGAAAAAGAATCTAAATATTGATAATAAAGGTTAAACACTTACTTGAGACCAAACTCTTTAACTGACAAGGCTAACCAATTTAAAGCTTCAGATTGATTTTTGGGGTTTTTCTGAGTGAAGGCTAGTTTCACAACCTAGAAGAAGAGATACAACAGATATCTAATAGCTCTGTATGGACATTTCCAATGATAGTTGTCAATACAACAAACTAAACAAAAAGATTCTGTATAGATTTGACTGAATTTGCATGATATTGATTTATTTTTTAAGCTTACCACGCTCATCATTTACCAAAAACAAATTAGAATCATTTTCTACCCTATTATCACAACTTGATTTGACTTTTGGATACTGGCAAATAATAATAAAATAAACTGAAAATATACCAACAACATACCTCTTGGCTAACATAATCTAATCCAATGGCTTCAGCGATACAACTCAATGCTTCTTGTGCTGCTCCACCATTTTTAACATCCCCTATTTTATCTACTATTTCACTTAAACAAAACTCAGCGGATCGCTTACTAAATACACTGTTTTTGGCAAGATGAGCTATTAATTCCAATCTTAATTTCAACACCTAAACAAAAATGTATTGTCATCAATAAAATATTAAAGATTTAAGATACAGCAATACTGTTCGTGTATGATAATATTCAAGTTATATCATATGTTGTATTCACTTATAAATAATAAGAAATTGTAGCTATAGCATAAAACATAAAAGGGATAGCTCCCACAAGAGAATGAGACTCTCTTGCAGGAGTTACATCATTTCCCGGTTAACTCTTTTTGGAATTGCAGGAAACACAGGCATTGGACGAAGAATTGGAATATCACAAGTAGAAGTCAAAGGTGTCTCCCAGATACACATAAAAAGGCTAGAAAACCTCTTTACAATCCTGTTAATAAAGTCTATAGATTGAGAATGTACGAGAAAGGTGGAAAATTTATCAAAGTATATGTTATTAAAGACTGCTTATACCTGAAAATTGGTATCTTTGAGACCTGGTTTTCTATCAATAACTCTCACACAAACTTGACAAGGTATATCATCTCTAGCAAGACCCTTTACCACCTAGAAATAAACACGAAACAGAGCTTTACACAATATGAGAACACCTTCTTAAATATGTATAACATGCCACTAATGCTACTCTAAGACTGACTTGATCAACTTGGCTTTCATTTAAAGAGATCAAGCATATGTAAATGATATATTTACTGACAACCTTATAATCGTTGAGAGCTAAAAGTCTGGTTTGCCACACATAAAATATTATTTTTTAAAATAAAATGAATATTTATTTTCTGGGTGTGCTCTCTCTTCAGGACAATAACATTCCCATAGCTAATAATTCTGTATATATCAAAATCATGGTGAAGAATTTCATCAAAGTGAATTTACCTGTGTCATCTTCTCCATACCAGCTAACCTTTCCTTCCAGTTAGAACTGGTTAAACTAGCTAGTGTATCACCTGGTAAAAGAGCAGCTGCCTTCTCTTCTAATGCTTCATCCTGTAGATATGAAATCAAATATTACATGTAATGCGGTGGAGGAAAATTTGGCTTGGACATTAGCTGAAAATCATATTTTCTTTTTTTTTCAATTTCAAGGCATCTGTTTTCTTCACAATGGTGGGGCTTGATTGAACAGGTTCTGTCTGTTCTAATTCTGCCCTCAATCGAACAGAATGAAAGCAAATATAATGTCACATTAAAATTATTTTCCCATCTATTTCCTTCTCCACCATTTTGAATTCTGTCTGCACCTACTATTTTTTCAGCAAACTTAGAATGCGTTCTGAACTCTGTTCCATCTTGCTTTATTCAACGTTCAGTTGATTCCATAAATTCTGAACGTGCAGAACTCACCAATCGAACGGTTCCCTGTGTTGCACACGGGGCATTATGTTTTAACCCCTATCAATTTACACAATCTTAAGTCAGCTTCTTCATTGTGAAAAGTGGTTTGGTTCTACTCGCAAACACTAAAAAATGAAAATTAACATTGAAAGTAAAAAAAAATAAGGCTTACAGAAAGAGCATTTTCTACAACTTCTTCTTTACTACTGCCTTTTTTACCAGCTTTACCACCCTTACCACCTGCTGCTGGCTTCTTTTTACCACCCTACAAAATTAACAAAGCCATCTTAAATTTTTAATCTCTTTTTGGAGAAAAAAAAACCTGTTCTACCAATTGGATAATCATCTTGAACTGCTTTGTAGGTTTTTCCTTATAGTCATCTAAAGCCATGCCTTGTTATTCATTTTTACAAAAGATTTTTGTTTTAGTGAGTTGGCCTAACATCTGATGTGGAGAATGACATCTGCAAACCCTCATCCCCTTTAACTATCAACTAACGACATATAAATTCACATTAATTATGATAAGTAAAGAGTATAGAATGGGTATTTTCACACTTACTGGTTTGACAACTTTAGCACTGGAACTTTCAGGCTGGTGGAAGAGAGACAGATATAGGGTGAAACATTTAAAAATAAAACAATATCTAATTTTGTGCTGTTTTTTTTTTTCAAGCAAATGACAAGCATAGTTTTAGATTTCTCTACCCTTATACAGCTTCCTTGTCTTACTTTTAAGATGAAAGTTCGCAAAAGAAAACTAAAACTCTGCTTGTAACTAGCGTAAACATGATAGTTCTGAGTGCTTAGTAATCTATCAAACCCACACATTACATTACATTTAGTGACAAGAATAGATTAAGAAACTAAACACTGGAACATAGTATGGTACTTATCTAAAAATAAATAGTTTTACTAATTCTGTTAAAGGAATATTACCGCTTAGAATGGGCATAAAATTCATCAAATTACCAGGTGCCAAGAACAGAATCTCTATATAAGACAATATATCTATTAAACTCAATTATTATTCAAAATTACTTAGTTTAATGAAATATTACTTAAACAGTTCTTTGGATTTAATTGATTATGTGTTGTATAGTTATGACACCAAGTATTTGGTCATCCTACGAGGTAGTTACTCTTAAGTCTGGGTAATGACAACATATCCTTATAAATATAAATTGATTAAGATCCATTGCTTTTAAGAGCTCATAGGTCAATAATGACCAAAAAAAATTGAAACCTACCGCTGATGGCTTGGCTTCTGGTTGCTGTAAACAACAGTGGACATAAATAAATAAAACAAACAATAAATAACTAAATAAAAGGTGAAAGTGCTACACAACACAATATTGAAATATATTTATAAAACAAACCCTGTATCCTCTAGACTGATTTAGAACAAAGAAATTAATTCAAATCATTGTTATAATTGTTCAGAAATTCTGAATCAGAATGAAACATATCTCAATATTTTAAAAGCTCTTAATCAGTGTTTCCTTATTTTGTTAATTTTTACCATACAGCCTAGACTGGAAAGTTAACCTGCCTTATAAACACAGGTAACAAAAGATGTCTTCTTATCCATTAGGGAACATCAGAAATATTTATGCATACTTAGTGATTCATCTAGTTCCTCAAGGATTTGTCAGGCGATATGATAAAGTTTCCAGTCTAACATGGATTTTTGACATAATCATGTCTAATTGATACACACTTATGTAAAATAGGAAAATTCATAAAGAAATACCTTGGCAGCAGCTGCTTTAGGTTTAACAATTTTAGGACCAGAAGGTGCAGAAGCTGTTCCTCCTCCTGCTGCAGCTGAACCTCCTCTAGGTTCACCTTTAGCATTCAATAAAACAGCATTAGTACAGCATTCTTGAATCTGCAAAATTCATCAAATTATCTTAAGCGATAATGTTTTCTACTTTTCAAATTCTAACAAACAAAATGCTACATATTCATATCTTCTATGTATCAAAGAAAAATAAGACAAAAGAGTGGTAGTTAATAGCTTATAATTGTTGTTTGAATTCTCCTCAAGGTAAAAAAACTTCTGATAGCATGGTCAGACAATTATCCAGATAAAAAACTGTTATTAAGTAATAATGTATAAGTTACCTTAGCCATTTTAATATTATCAACATCATTTAAGAATGGTGTTATATTTTTCTCTGTTACAACTTTCATGGCAGTACCAAGCGCTTGAAATGAGGCTTCACGTACTTCACCAGTTGTGTCATTGACAGTCTAAAACAGAAATTCAACAGAAATATATACATAGATAAAATATCAATAAAAAAAAATATTCAACTTTTACTTTCTGGACAACTTCACCATGCAGCATGCAATGAAAGAAGGAATCTAAAAAGTTTCAGAATTTTGTCAGAAAATAAAAGAAGCAAGTGATATTTTACAATCCTTATCTTCTAAGACTAATACTAGAAGTGCCAAATTATTGTAAAGATGTCTGCATCATCAAGAATTCAATATATAATATCAACTAGCTCATAAATGAGTCTTGTATTGACTGTAACAACAAAAAAAAGGTGAAATGTCAAAAGAGTTCATAGCGACATGGATCAATCTACCCCAAGAAAAAAAGACAAAATGTTGATTTCACATTAAAAACCATCTATTGGTAGAAACATACCTTAAGTAGGCTTGTACAAAACATCTTTAACATTTTCTTAGGTAGACTAGATTGAGTACAGCGTTGAAAACAGCGACCCAGAAATAAGGCTGTTTCTGCTCTAATTTGTGGGTTTTTATTTTCTAATGCAGCAACACAATCTTCAGAGATATTCTCTAATGTTGTCTGAAAAAAATTATTACATAAATTCACAAATCAGCAAATATAAATGAAATGATTATATTTTGCATCATTTAATTATTGATAGTGATAGTGACATTATCAAACACTTAGTTTTAGTGAAATTGCAGGAACTACAAGAGTCTGATTGAAAATTGGAATGGTGCAAATTGGTGCTAACAGTCTCTCCAATACTTAATTTTTTAGAAAACCCATTTACAAACCCATTAATCCCACTGTGCCTCTGATTACTCAAGAACCATATAACTTTTAATGTCAACATGTTAAGCTTGATCAACTGCTCTAAAACATGAAAAGACAAGACTTACTGTTTGATATACAGCATCACTGGCCTCTCTTAATGCTGTTACTACAGCTGGTTTCTTTTCTTTAAATTTATCTATTATAGTTGACATACTCTAATAAAATAAAAAATATATTTCAGTCAGCTAAACAAGCACACGCACAAATCAAAAATATTAAGTTTTCAATTCCATCACAATGATTACTGATGTCAACTCGTCATACCTTTATAAGGAGTTAAAAATATAACATTATTAAGAAGCTAGTGTTTTTTTGCCTACTATGAACAAGTCTCGTCATATAAACAAGATAGTAAAGAAAAGACAAATTATTCTGAAAACCGTTTTCTAAATTGAACCTTATACACCCCTCGTTTGGAACACATCAAATGCATTCATAACACAAATTACATCATCTATTGAAAAGATGGCAGCATCATATGAAGGGATAGCCTATGAGCACTCGATTAAGAGCAAGAAAATTATCTAAGAAACGACATATTTCAGAAATGTGTGAGGGAAAACTTCATTTTAAGAATTATTAAATAGCTTAATCAATTATGATTTTAATGATGTTAAGTGGGAATGGAGAAAGAGGCATTAAAGACATCAAATAGAAATTTTATGCAGTGACACAATTTGGCCTTTTTTGTTTGCGTTATGAGTCTTATATTCTTATCATTGATCAAATACTTACATTGCCTGCATATGGTGAAAATTTCTTCCTCAAACCAACAGCTATTCCTTTTAAACATTTTCCTGCTAAAGCAACTAACATTACATTGGTATCTTTAGCTATAACCTAGAACATACATCAAATCATGTGACTTGTAATCATTAAAATATCTATTATACAACTCATTCAAATGAAAATTTATGCAATATTTTCTAACATGTTTTTGAAAGAATGACAATGACCTATACTTTGGGAGATAGTAGCTAAAAAACTAAAAAGACAGCTGAGCTGTCAATGGGTACAGATAATAAATCTTTGAAACATATTAAAAAAATAAAAATATGGATGTTTCTCAGGGTAAATAAACCTACCTTTAAAACACACTTTATCAAAGGAGCAAAATCACCATTTTCAATTTTTGGATTTTCTGTCAATTTTTGTAAAGCCTCTAGAGCTTCCTTTCTTTCTTGCCATTTTTTCGCTTCCTGTTAAATAAAATTTTAAATTTAAATGGATGGGTAAGCTCAAGCAGTCAGCATCATATAGTCTGGAATGAGGGGAATTTTGACCAGACACCAGTCCTTTAGCAGTGAACTGTTTCACCTGGTCAGACTGGGGTATCTGTGGCAATATAATTCAAGATTGACATACTTACTATCTTATCATAGAAGTCTTTAGGTAATAGTGCTAGAATATCTACAGCTTCTATTAATTCATAAGCATCTATTTCTTCAGAAGCACCATCATCTAGAAATAAATTTTCAACACACAAGGTAAGATGCTTTTCCAAATTGCACAATGATAATAATTATGCTTTATAAGTTTCATACCGAAGGAACCATCAAAATTTCCTTTTTTAATAATGGATAATCATGATATTCTACTAAAGGAAGGATCAAAATTTTTCATTGATAATCAATACTTATCATGGCTTACTACCATAGAAAAATGGTTTCCTACAACAGGAATGATCAAAATTTCTCAAGAACAATCAAAACTTTTCACAAAAATTCTTAGATCATGCCACAAGAAAAATTGAAATTTGAAACTACCCTGGTCTAAACCAGCTAAACCTGACATTGAAAGATATACTGACCTTCTGCATCACCACCACCACCAGCCTCTTCATTTAGAGCTTCTTCCTCCATTTTAGCTTTTAAATCCTGTTGAGATCGCAAAAATCTGGCTTGTTTGGCTTTTTCTGAAGGTAATTTTTCAAATTCTGTTTCTAATTCTTGTACCTGAATGTTAGAATACAACAAACATGTCATAAAGCTTCTCAACAAAAACATAAATTGTGTGCTTAGTCTGACATCTGAAGACCTTGAATTCATCCTCTGTCATCATTATTCCAGTTGACGAGTTGAAAAGGACCACTAATTTGAGGTTAGCAGTATGTGGTTGAAAAAACCTTGAGAACTTATGTTGGAAGAGTAAATTTTTCTTTCTTTGATTTCCTTTATAGCATTTTCAATGCACATTATGAATATTAATTTTAAAGGGATTGTAAAGAGGTTTTCTAAATTTTTTATGTATTTTGAGGACACCGATAGCATCAATTTGCACCATTCCAATTTTCAATCAGACTTTTATGGTTCCTGCAATTCTACTAAAACTTAGAGTTTGATGTTGTTTTGACACTCATTTTTATGATATTGCAGCAACCACAGACGCCTGACTGAAAATTGGAATGGCGTAAAACACATATAATACTTAGAAATCCCTTTCACTTAAAATGTCACTTTACCTGAACTGGTTTAAAATGTGTCATTTGAGGTTTTAAAGCAGCACCAATCCAACGATATAACTCAATACATAATAATTTAGTCTCTTCTCGTACACTTTTATCTCTATCTTCTAATAACTTTGGTAAAACTTTAATTATTGGTTTAACTGTAATAATCTTGGTACCAAAATCTCTACAATATACATATATTGTTCAATTATACCCACTTACAGCAGCAGTCAAAATACTGTACAAATTGTAAAAGACCTATATGATTTCAATTAAAGATCGCTCAGTCTATCAAGCCCTAGACAATGTTCGCAAGTACATTCAAAAAATCAAAAGAATCAATAGAGAATTGTAGTCTGTAGAGTGAGCACGGGCCAAAAAAGTGAGAAAAATAAGAACGCGAAACCTCTCAAGAAAATTATCAGATCATCACCAAATTCAAAAGTGCACATCAAAAGAATCCTTGGAGAATTGTAGCCTGTAGAGTGAGCACGAGGTAAATGTGAACAGACGGACGGACGGACAGGTGCAACTACAATATATGCCCATACTTATGTGTGGGCGTATAAAAAATGTTAACTTGATAAACCTTAGTAATAGGTACCTTAAAGCAATACGAAGAGCTGTGATACATCCAACTACTATTTTTGGTTGTTTATTCTCTAAACCAGCCATTAGTGCTTCCTGAAAACATAGTTTATCAAGTTTATATATAACGAAAATATACCCATAATACCCCCATACACAGGAATAATACATTCTAAATATTTGCTTGAGCACTGCATTAACTCAAGGTTTGGTCAAGGCCATAATTATGAAACATCTGAGTAATGTATATGATCAATATTAAAGTTTACCTGTACAGCTTCTTGTTTTTCAATTTCAACATACATCATAATTGTTTCCATAGCTTTATCTTTAGTTTTTTGTTTACTGGCATTTAAACATTTAGTTACAATACCATTCATAACATCAGCACAAGATCTAAATTTACAATATGACAATCAAAGAAAGAAAGAAAGATTCAATTTTTACATGAAACAATAAACCAATACCTCAACAGATGAAAATCCAACAGTATTGCTTTGGCAAATTATTCACATTGCACACTGTATAGCATTGACTATCTTGTTATCCTAGATGAGGTGTATAAAGTAAAACCTTTTATTCAAACATCATTCATTTCAGAAGTGATATTTCAGTAAACTGTAATGGTATTGAGAAAGCTCACCTTCCAGCTGTATGAGAATTTGTAACAAACAACAATACAGCATCTAATGCTTTCTCTTGAGCAACAGCATTGCTGTCAATAACAAACTTCCTCATCAATCCACCATATTTACCAAATTCTGGACTCTTTTCCTCTAAACCTTTAAATAATTTGGTAGCTTCTTCATACCCAGCCAATCTTGCCTTCCAAACCTTATAAAACATAATAGCAATTTACATCGACATTAAAAGACAAATATCATCTAGTTATTGAGACTTTCAAATAACAAAATTGACAATATCTGAAAAAAAAAACCAGCTTTCTCCATATAGGTAAGCTAAAGAACAGTGCCTTGTATGAATTAAGTATAAAGTAAGCTTAGGCTTCTGTTTAACGCATGAAAATCTTTACAACAGAGTAAAAGAGCCTTATTTTGAATTGACAATAGCACATCCTTTATTGTAAATGGTAAGTTTATGAGTCAGATAAGTACAAAATACATATCCAAGACAACTGGTTTGAAAAAAAAAAATAATCTTAAAGCATCTATTTGTGCAGGACTTTAAAAGCATTTCTGGACAGCTATGAATACAAACAAACCTTATGTTGAACTTTTTCATCTGTTGGCAATTTCATCCATTCTGAATCATCTCCCATTCTCACTATTTATCTATTTCAACTACTTACTAAACCTATAAATAGGAAACAAAATGATATTCACATAATATTTCTCTTTGATTTCAATGTATTCTTAGTAAGCAATAATGATTGAGAAGTGTGGAAACAGATTAGAAAAGTAGAGCTATGGATTTTTTCATATAACTATAAGAAACAGTTTAATTTGATGGTTTTACACTAAGGTGTCTAAATCATTTACGGGTAATTGCTAGATTCATCTGACCCGACTGTGGCAGAAACGTATTTGGAGTGGAATGGTCGCCTGCAGGAACTTTTTCCTAAAAGATTTCTCTGCAATTACGGTACCGATACACTAAATTCATGGTACCAGTATAAGATAACTGGTATAAGCTTAATAATTCTGTTGGTGAAAGTGGTTCTAAAAACACTTTATGTTATCAAAATAATGAGAGCGCTCTATGGCCTATTACCAGGCCTAATGGTACCAGTATTGTTTAAGATTAATGATGTGTTATTTATCTGAATAATTTGAGACAGTAAAGTCTTATCTTATTATTCTGGTCATTAATCATCATTAGGCCTAAACCAGTTAACAATTTTTACAAGCTTGAGCAAATACACCTATATATCTTTACCATGCGAAATCAGCCTACAGTACCATGATTATTAGACAAAGATTGTACATGTATAATCTTAACAGAATCTATAAGAGATTAGGTTGATTGAAAGTAACAATAACAAGTTAAGACATTACTATTCAACAATCAGACTTGGTGGTAGATGGTAGGCCGTAGGCCTTCTCCGCTGCCACTGAGAGTGGAATGTCTAGCAATCGATGCATTGTCATTCAAAGGTTTGATTGGTAGTTTACATATATATGCCTGTAATAATGATACTGTTACAGTGTGTAAATACACTTCCAACAATGAGGGGCTGAATTCATGTTTCAGTTGTTCACCTGTCATGAACATGAACTTGTTTACAATTTACAACTTGTTGAGTTAGTCATGGCATAAAAATGACAAGTTTTTGATCATATTTCCAAGCCCATGGCAAAAGCTCAGAAGACAATTTCTTACAGGGAACAGCAGATAGTTTGATTTTTCGGAAAATCACTCTTTTTGTACCTGAAATCAAATTTAAAGGATATATGACTTCATTTCAGACAGGTCTGTGTATTTTTTGAATATTATTTACTTCGACGACAGGATTGGTCAGTAGAATTGAAATGGCCGCCGCCTAGTGTCAAAATTTGAAACTATTCAGTCAAATCGTCCATAAGTTTAAGACGTGTCGCTCAATGCTCTTTGAGTCATTGGGTTTTTGTCTAAAGACTTATCGAAGAGCTGATATCTAAAACACATTTTTGAAAGACAAAATGCCAATACAATTGATTATGCTTACTAGTCGAGTAAGGGTTTACAGCTTTGGGTCGAATTGACTACTTCCGGTTTAGTTCATTTCCAGGTCACAGGTCAATGCTCACATGGCTTTCAGAATGGCAATAACAATATAAAACTTCTGAAGTTCATCCCTTTTAAAAGATGAAAAGCGTAGGGTTTAAGTTTGAAGAAGCCAAACAATTATTGTCAGACGATAATTCTTACCTCTATCTTATAACTAAAAGTCGAACTATTATTCTTTCTCCTCGTTTTATTGGTAAAATATTGCCTGGTATACGCGAATTTATTGACAGAGAAGTTAACTTGTTTTCAGATTTGTAAGTGCACTTTAGCATACTTTATTCAACTATGTTACATTTTAAGTGTAACTAGTTATTTATCCAAATTTAAAATAATTACTCTGTTGAATCCAGCCAACAAGTTGTTTATCATGACATAGTGCAAATCAATCAGTGAAACAGGTTCTAATATAATCATCTAGGCATAGCAATATAGCATAGATAAAGCCACTCAGCCAGAGTTACAGAATTAGAGATGCTAACACATGATATAATTTTAGAAAGTAAAAATCTGTAAATATTGAAAGACCTATTTTCAACATTATAAGGCGCTAGACAAATTGACAATTGATATTTATAATAGCGAAATTCAGTTTTAAGATAATTCATGATATGGAGTATTGCTTAAACTAGTGTTTGTATTCATAATATTCCTGATGACAGTGTACTTAATATTCAGAAAGTATCTACCTTTTATGATTGTCTTATTTATCTACCACCTGTGCTTCTAATAACCATTGAAGAATTATTTACATCATATATATATATACAAAAATTTACCATCTATTTCTATTTCAGTTTAGATGGTGTTCTAATTTCCTACTCGAATATCAAACTACATCAACCATTTAGCTCAGTACATGATGACAGACCATATCTGCATTTATATATCCAAGCTGATTACATTGTCTTCAAACCTTATGTTGGGTGTACACTAAAGGGTGTGGTGAATAAGTTAAGTCAAGGCCACATTGGTTGTCTGGTTCATAAACATTTCAATGCATCAGTACCTAGACCTTTCAAGAATGCTGACAAAACAGTCACAATCTGCAGCAAGGAGATGAATTTAAATTCAGAGTTACTGGCCTTTCATCCAGTAATAAAGTGCTATTTATTAAAGGTGCCTTGAGAGAAGAGAAGTAAGTAGTAATTGTTGAACTTGTGTTATCTCTTTTTGTCTATTTCCCTTATTGTGATTGTATCTTTTATCGTAATTTGTATCACCTCATGCACCTCTAAGTGCTTTAAAGGAAAGGAGACAAACTTATTATACCTTATATTAGTTGTATTTCTTTCTTGCTTTCATTTAGAATCTTTTATCATCGAAATTTATAAGTTAGAGTATCTAAGAATTAAGGAAAAAAAAGACTGAAAATCAAGATTTTTTTTCTTTGTTTCAAAGTTTATTAACTTTAATGCAAAGCTAACGATGAGGTTGACTGGCCTTTTTGTGTATCAGGGACATTTATAGCTTCTATTTTTTCCAACAGAAAACCAAAGAAATGGTCCAAACAGAGTTGTTGTTCATTGGTGTAATTCATAAGAAATGAATGCAAGAAGTCCAACACCTCAGTAACAATGACTCTCAATATATTTCAGTAATGTTCCAAAGGCTGACAACATTACAGAACCCAAAGGAGAGATAGTGGCTGTACAAGATGAATCTTCCAATACTGAAAATTCCAGTAAATCTAAGAAAAAGAAGAAGAAAAAATCTAAAAATAGAGATGATTCCTTCCAAAATGTGTCTGAAAGCCAAGAAACTGTTAAAAGCATTGACAGTAACAAACGTAAACGTTCACACGACACCGATGTTGACAGTGGCATCGTTGACAGTGATACTGACATCAGAGAAAGCGAAAGCAAACGTCTTAAAAGTGACAGTGTGGACGATGTTGACATAACAGATAATAACAATCAGGATTGTGCCTTAGATATGTCAATATCTTTAGATGAAAGTCATCAATCAGAACAGATAGGTGGCTCTAAAAAACACAAAAAGAAGAAAAAACATAAGCATAAAAAAGAGAGTGATTTATGATAATAATAACAAAACGTATCAGTGAGGTGAATAAAAGCTATTAAGTTTTAAAAGCTAAAGCTCACAGTCAAATATTTTGGTTTATCAATATCTTGATTCACCAAGACTGGACAATATCAGAAATCTTTTTATCTTAATCATAAGTGCTGAGAAAATCATGGTGTAAACTTTGAAATTGTGTAGCCATGAAGGGTCAAGCAGATTTGTCACCCAATTAAGCTCAGTGTTAGATTGCAGAGAAACTTGATGCAAGTTTATCACTCTTGAAATTGATATAGGTAGCTAAAATTGTGTTCTGTTAGCTGGTAATCACTCCATCCTCTATTAACTTAAAGGGATTGTAAAGAGGTTTTCCAAATTTTTTATGTTTATCAGATTCCATTCCAACTTTCAATTTAGATGTATGTGGTTCCTGCAATTCCACTTAAACTAAGTGTTTGATGACATCACTTATTGCAAAATATGATTTATCTCAATAAGCCTTTAATGACAAGTGAAAACATCAAACACTGATTAAAAGTTGGAATGGCGCTAAAGTGTCCCTGATACACATAAAAAATTTAGAAAACTTCTTTACAATCCCTTATTCTCTGTTATAACCAGTTGAGAATTATACCTACGACTACATTAAGCCTTTTACATTTTCCTTTATTCCTTTTCATTTCCATCTTTCTGTTAAAAGGTTTTGGTTGATATGGTGTTGGAAGATTGACTTTTGCAAGTTCTTTATTAAACAATATTGGTAGTTGGAAATATCATAAGGAGTTGTGCCTTTAGCTGAAGAGTTGATCTGTAAGGACCCTGTGTCATTCTGTATTTAATTGTTATCTCAAAGTCAGATGACATTTTAACAAGGCAAACCCTGATTATTATCAATAATGACTTATACATGATAACAATAGTACATATTGGACTATAAAATACCATTTTTAATCTGTGAACTTAAGCATTAAATATTATTACAACGAATCTAATTGGTTGTTAATCACATCATGGATCTAAATTATTAAATAGAAGATCTACAGGCTGTATGGTTTCTTAAACCTTAAAGTGTAATAATTCAGAAGACACTCATTTCAGATTGGCTGATACTATTTTGATTGGCATATCTTCTGTCATATGTAAACTTTCAATAATAAAGAATAATTGTTATTATCATATTCAAATGATAATGTTATTGTAACCACTGTCATTGAGTCTTTAAGCCTGTTGGACATAATAATATGTATGCCCTCAGGTTGGTACCTCCACACAAACCAACACTGGTGGCAATTTTGGTGGCTAGTGGAACTAATGGCTTTGTGTGCTATCATGTTATTTCCAGGTTATAAGCTTTGGGGGTATGCATCTGAAAGACTCCACAAAAGCCATGAAGTTTGACATTTTTGTAGATTTTTTACTTGTAAAAGAAATTTACAACTTTGTGAAGCCTAAAGCCTCAGTTTGAAAATCAAGCAGGGCTCCTGCATTGTGATTACAGAGAATAAGAATTTCAACTTGTCATAATAACAGTGGGTGTTGCACTCTAGTGCAGTTTTCTGCTCAAGGATTAAAAAAAAAAATGACAGTTTTCTCCTTCTGATTTATTTTGGGAAACTGATCAATCTATATGGAAGTGAAATATTGACAGATAATGAGGTGATAATCTTTAATCATGATTAATAATCAATATTTTCATAAACAACAACTTTACACTTCATTCCATAAGAATAACATTTGTTTTGGTATAATTTATAAGATCTTCTTTTCTAGAAGTTTGTGGGGTGGTTAAAATAGTCATTAGTACCAAGATAGTATCCCAGTTAAAAAATGAATTATAGATGAAATTGATTGGTGCCTTAAAAATTTTAAAAAAAATTATAATTGTTTCAAGGTTTTTAGATATTCCATAATTTAAAACTATGATCGGATATAGTACCGAAACGAACAGAGAAAAAAGATTTATAAGAGTTACAAAAGGTCAAGGGACCTGTATAGAAGCAGAACAATGATGAACACGAAAATGAATGAATATAGAACAATGAGGATGAATGAATAAAGCCCTGCATTATGTAGCTCACACAATGTACCCCAATTGGCACCGCCACTGAAAGTGAAACCGTTATTTTGGGTTCTGTCGTGTGGTTCGGAACATTGAATCGATTGAAACAGCAGGATCGTCTGGAAGAAACAATTAACTTCAAAGACAGACAGATAGCCGAACTTCAGCCTTATGAGCTCGCCATTTTCGGGCGTTAACTTTTTATTTCTATACATTATATGTAGGCTATTTTCTATATCGTCTCAGAAAAGACGTTTTTAAAAATTCTCGACACACGACATGGATTTGAATTTTGACGGTGAGTTGTGAACACCATTAACTTAAATTCCCGTTTCTGAGACTAAGATAAGATTGATCAAACGAATGGTCTTTTAACTGGGATATTCCCTTTAGAGTTAGGTGTCTTTAATCCTACTCATTATATCCTCCTACTATAATTTGCCGAGTTGGAGAAATATCACTTCAGATTTTTTTATCTTCATACTTATTTCCTATCAAGCTATATATTACACACAACACAATAGACAATTATACACATCGGAGTTACTTGGTTATCCGAAAACATGGTAAGTGTGATCACTTTAACTTTTTGGGATAGCCTATTTTTATTTGCCGTAAAATAAGTCTTAACACATCGTGTGATAATTAATTAATCCATTTCTATTTTCGTTGAGTTATCTGATCGAACTTATTTCAGTATAGGTCTTTTCTGTGCAGTTTCTTTAAAAATGATTTTCCAAGTCTTCAAAAAGTGTCGTTAGCCTTGCCTATAACAAAATATCAAAAGGCGATTGCATATATTATCTAAAATAGGTTTTATTAATTAAAAGCTGACAAATCGCTGGTTTCATGCTAACAGTCGATTTCAGTGCATCCATGAATAAAAAAAAATGCCCAGAGCCACAAAATTTGATAGTAGATTAGAGCGGTAGAAATCTGCGACCAACAACTGCCGAATTTAGGTTTTTGAGCTCATCTCAGATCTAAATATATATACTGTGTCCTTTAATGAGAATTATAGGCTCATGAATCCAAAATATTGTGTGATCTATTTCAGAAGCAACTTGATTTACTGTTTGTGTTCAGTGTGTGCTTTGGAAGCTGTACGATAGCAACTGGTTGGCTTATTCATCAGGATGATTCAAGTTTAAAAGATAGGGGCAGATTTGCTTTAAGAAACCCCTTTTTACGTGGAAGAGCTCCAACTATGTTTCCTCAGAGGACGGCAAAAATTCGGTTTCTGTCATCTTTGAACTCTAGACAGAATACAATGCTACCTTTGTATAAGCGGAACATCAGAGCACAATTTACCAGGAAGCGGATCAGCGTTTGTCCGTTTGCAACAGAAAAAGGTCGTTTCCCTTTGGGAGGTTGCTTATATTACTATGTGAGGAATCCAACAACAGAGTCATCGACTTTGGTGGAAAATGCAACCCAAAGTCCACTGGTAGCTGCACCACAGATTTATCCTATTGGACTCCTATCGGATAGAGCAAAACCTAAATCAAGCCCTTGGTGGCCATCTTTGTTTTTGTTGGGAGGATCTGTGGGGAAATAGGCTATAACTCTCTTTTGATGGTGTTGTTAAGTTCCAGTTCTGGTTTATTGTGAATTTGTTTGAACCCAAGAACAATATTGGTATATTACAATTTTATATTTTATATGATCTTGAAGCAGATGGATGTTTCTGTGTTAATTCATTTATAGAAATATTTATATAAAAAGACGGATAGGGTTCCATATTGTTCCAATTTGCGCAAATATTGATAATAAAGCAGAATATTCTATGGCAAATTCAAGCACTTTCATTTAGAAAAGGTTATCCGGTTATGCCTGTAAGGCATCTTAAAGAGATACCTCTTAAAATACACATAAACTTCTCTCACTTAGCCATTTAAATTACCAAATCATCAGTGGGCATATCGGTGTAAAATACAATATAGGCATAATCCAAAAGCGTCCAAAGAAGAAAATATAGGCTACTCCTATTGGCTAAGTTTAAAAATCTAAATTTTATGTTCATTCTAAGATTTAGTATACCATGAAAAAAATCACGGTGAGTGGTACGATGTCGGATTATCGATGAGTAAATAATGGTAGAAGCAAATGTGTCTGCATCATATTCGAACACACATCTCGTTACACATAAAACAGCAATGTAACCTTTTGAAGTTGGAGGCTAAATTTAGTAAAAGAGCTACAAAGCTATAAAATTGGCAGTTTTAAAATGACGGCACCAAATACAGGTTATCACACATATTATGTCGTCACTTTAGAAAGGAAGACGGAACTAGACATTTTACCCTACCCACGGCTTAAAGGGACCGCTTCACCATTTTCGGGAGTTGCTTTGGGACTTGAATGTACGTAAATAGTCTTCAGAAAAAAATGTATGAAAATCGCAAAATACCTCGAACTGGGAAGTTCGCTTTCTAAATGTAAATATGTCTCTTCTATGGGCCCCCCTATATGACAGAATCTCAAGGAAAGACGAGTCGTTTTTATAACTTTCAAACACCGATGATTCTGGACACATGTGGATTTAAAGGCTGAAATTTGGACGGTTTTCTGTGAATGTGATCACTATTACTAATTAGCTTAGGTAAATTGGCAAACCAGTCCCTTTAACCGCAGCTACATTATTAATGGAAATCTAATAGGGATCGAAACTTTTGACACCCAACTCTTGATTTGAACCAACTAAAGATTGCATTTTTGAACTTTGAAAAGCCTGTTGAGTACAAACTAATCCTGACTCGGCTATAATTAGTCATTTATATTGTAATAAATCTTTACTTGGAATTTTAGAATTAAAATAAAGAGAGCAAATAATTATGTACCCAAGGGTTAGTAAAACTAATTATACATACTAAGAACATGAGAGTTTGTGGGGTTTTAGACAAAGTAGTTCTTTTTAAATCAGACACCACACTGGAAATGATGCCTTCTCACTCTCACAGTATAGTAAACCAATCTGTTGTCAAGTTTCCATGAAAATGTTACGGATGTTTGACAAGTTGGTAAATTGGTCGCAGGAGAAATAAAAACAGAAAAAATACTGAGCCAAATATCGTGTGATCAAATGACTGCTTCTAGATTAAAAGGTCTATCAGTACCACAATGGCGGATATTTCCCACGAATTAAGTGGAGGTACAAAGTATTTGTATAGGGGCAAAAATACGGACAAGTTAGTTCCTTTACTGGGATAGTGGGCCATTTTGGGGATTTGATTTGAGTCTTAAATATATGTAAATAGTCTTCAGAAGTACTAGAAATGTACAAAATCACATAATCTTTTCAAAAAAACCTCAAACAAGGAATTTATTTTCCTATTTCTATGGATGTAGTTTTTATATTTCGCAGTGTGTAAAAAAACTTTCGAAAGCGGATAAATCTGGACACAAACATGGATTTGAAGGATTAAATTTCGATGGTGAGCTGTGAACTATTACAAAATTTCTGAGACTAAAGTATGATTGGTCAAAACAAATGCCCGTCCCTTTAATACACACGACAGATCGATTATTCTGATAAGAAGAATTTTATGTTGATTGAAAATCAGGACTTGAAATAATAAACTTAGTTACTGAGCTGTCTTTATACTTATGATCAAAATATTGTTATAAGCAACTTTCTAGAGATGCAACAGATCAATGACTCCATCCATTTATTTCTTAGTAACAGTTGATATATCAAAAGAAGGAACAGGCAGGTACAAGAAAACAGTTCTAATTACGAAAAAAAGATACACCAAAAACAAGACAGTAATGTTTTTGTTAATAACATTTCTGTCTGTTATTCTTGATGATGCACTGTATGGGACATCTGTTACTAATTATAAACCTGATATATACTGTATCAATTATGTACATGATATTCACAAAAGCATCGCATACATGTACATGGTATAGGCATCACATACATGAAAATTGTGTCTACCATCACATACATGAACATGCATCACATCCATGAACATGGTGTATGCATCACATACATGAACAAGCATCACATCCATGAACATAGTATATGCATCACATACATGAAAATGGTGTCTCCCATCACATACATGAACATGCATCACATCCATGAACATGGTGTATGCATCACATACGTGACAATGGTGTCTGCACCATATCAATGGAAATGGTATAAGCATCACATACATGAAAATGGTGTCTGTAACATATCAATGAACATGGTATAAGCATCACACATGAATATGGTATAAGCATCATCATATACATGAATATGGTATAAGTATCACATACATGTATGTATTACAAATATGAGCATCTGAAAAACAAAACAACTATAAAGCTAATGAATATCATGAGAATGTACAAATGTAATGAAATTGTAATGAATTAAACAAGAATTTAATCACTATTTTCATTAGCAGGTGATTCACCACCAGAATCAGAACCTTTTTTAGAACCACCTTCATTGTCAGAATGGTTTGATGCAGGAGAACCACCTGACTTATTTGATGCAGGAGAACCACCTGATTTATTTGATGCATTGGAACCACCTGATTTGTTTGAAGCATTTGAAGCTGCAGAGCGGTTTGAGGCATTTGAGACAGCAGAACGGTTTGAAGCATTGGATGCATGAGATGCAGCAGACCGGTTTGATGCCTTAGATGCATTTGATTTATTTGAAGCATTGGATTTGACACTTCCAGCATCACTTTCACTTCCAGAGTCTTTACCAGATCCTTTCTCTGATCCAGAACCTTTGTTAGATCTTCTATCTGATTCTGATCCTGATCCACGGTTTGATCCTGATTTCCTGTCATTATCTGATTTGGCAGCTTCTCCATCACTATCACTATCAGATGACATAATACGTCTTCCTTTCTTGCTAACACCTTCATTACCACTGCCACTACCACTACCACTACCACTGAAACAATCAAACAGATTCAATAAAATCATCTGTTGGAAGTTAAGATCTTTAACCAGTTGATAAATATATAAATCACTCTCTGTTTATCATTGTCTCTGTAAAATTTATAAGAGGAATCCCAAAGAGATGGCATGTACCTCATGTTGTTTGTTTGTAGGATGGGAATCCTATTTATATTGTGGACAGAAAAAATTAATTTTCTTTTGACTTGGATTAGACTGATAAGACAGATCTACTGTCTGCAGTTAAATACCAAACACCAAAGACATCTTGATGCCAAATATTGAAAACAAGATGAGCATCATTTTCTACTTACCCATCATCAGCAATCTGTAGTTCTTCTTTCTCTGATCCAGATTCGTTAGAAGATGATATATAGGCTTTGGATACAATTTTACGTCTTTGTTTTGCAGATAATCCATCATCTTCTTCCTTTTCTTTCTTTTTCTTATCTTTTCCTTCTTTACCTTTTCTTGGTTTTCTTCTCTTTTTATCTCTTCTATCTCCACCTTCATCCTCACTATCAGACATATCTCTTCTATTTCTAAAAAAGGCAAGGTACACATCTTTAAATAGGGAGTCTTAAAGATCTATTTCTACAACATTGTTAAGTGGGGACATAAAGAATGCTTCTCAAAGAAAGGCATAACTGTTTATGACTAATTAGTTTCTATATCCCTCTACAACTGATGTATTGTGAACTATTTTAACAGTGAGAATATTTCATTATTGAATAAATAACCTAATCGCATTTCATTGGATACAATAGAACATTTTTTGGAGAATCTTTAAAGAATTAACTGATATGTTCCATATTGACCTATATGATATGAATGAGAATATTTTAATTAAACTAGCCCAGGTTTGTCACTCATGAAGATTTCCAGAAATCCATTCATCCGAAGAACAAACTTGCTCAGTTAAAATCAAAAGATCACTGTATCTGAAAATACAACTGACCTTCTCTTCTTCTTATTTTTCTTCCTATTTGATCGTTCTTCATCACCGTCATCTTCTGAATCAGTACTAGCTCTTCTCTTCTTCTTCTTCTTCTTTGGTAACTCTTCTCCACTTCCTTCAGATATGATATCATCAATATCACCACCTCTCTTCTTCTTACCAGATTTACGTGGCCTCTCTACCTCTGCTTCAAGATTAATCTTTTTAGCCTTCTCTACAATAACAGCTCTCTGTTCTAATAACCTCTTCTCAAATTCTTTCCTCTGCCTCTGTTTCTCGGTCTAAAATGTCAAAATTTGATTTTGATCGTCTGAGTTCCTCTTTTAAGTTTCACAAAATGCTATCCTGTGCAAACCTTTTGACAAAATTTATCTCCAAAATACAAGAAATGAAATGAACTGAATTTTAAGTCCTACTTTTCTGCACTATGTGGGCTAATGAAGACAGTCAACGCCATGCAGGGTGCAATGAGGGAAATTTTGCAAGGAAAGCGGCATCAGCCTGCTATATTTTATTTTTCAACTGTCAAGGGATCTTTAACATGCACGGTCTGTAGCACACAGGGCCTCGGGTTATTGTCCCATTCGAACAACTAGATGTTTTTTCCATGTCAGACTCTCTTTACCTGCATCACTGACAGGGGGAAACCGGGTTGAAAAATCCACAGGTATTATCTTGACCTATGCCGGGATTGAACCCTGGTCCAAAATACAAGAAGGCACATTTATCATTAGCTACACTTGTTTATCAAGCTTTCAGTATTTCTAACGATTTCAGAAATGTACCACAGCACTCCTAAGTTGTTATTAAAGAACATTAATAAGGCCTGCAAGTGATTACAATCTTCACCACCATGGTAAATTGCTGTTCAGTTTAAGGAGATCCTGACATTGGATTTTAATTCTGCACAGTGATACACATAAATGTTAATAATTCGCAATATCTTAAAAAAATCCAACCTGTTCTTCTGCATATTTCTGTCTAAGTTTTTCTTTATCAGCTTCTTGTTTCTTTCTAATTTCTCTTTCTTCTTCATCAATTTTTCTGGCTCTAGCTACATGATACTGAGCTTGACTTAACAAATCTGAACATTGTCTGAAAGGAAGATATAATCAAAATAAAATTCTGAATTCAGGCATGTATGCAATTATTCTGATTTATATATCGCCCGCAACCACAAATATTGATGATAATTATAAAGTTAAAGCAGTCGTATACTACATACGCCATGCATGTTCAGGATTGTTTGTATATTGACTGCAGCATCTCTGATGAGATACTCTGTATCACCAGTCGACCTTAGCTCTCTGTAAGTGTTACCCTGGGTAATAAATGGGTAATATATTCAATGTTTTATTGAGTAATAAATCTATATGAGCTTACCTAGCTTCTAAACCAGCTTGATTTAAATCATACTTCATTCTATCACCATGTTGACTTAGATAACTAAAATATCTATAAACACAACACAAATTCTATCATAGATGAGGTTTGAAATGAAATGGAGTATGCAATGAGGGAAAGTATGGCAGATCAGTGGCATTAGCCTATTCTTTTTTAATCAACAAATGCTGAGAAATCTTCCAATATCTGCAAGACACAAGTTGCGTCACTGACGGTAGGAAATCTTGTAAAAAAAAATTCCAAAGCTGTCAACTCAACCTTAACACCTAACTTAAAAAATGCCACATTAAAATCAATATATATTTTAAGTTGGTATCAATTTTTTCAGAACACAAAGTACAGAAGATTTTTTTGTCCAATGGATGGCCAAATGATTTTCCATGCAGAGATGAATTCCAATATCCTCATATCAATATATTTTCATGTATTTAGAAAATAGAGATGTGCATCCTACCTGTGTGCTAACTCTAAATCTCTAACAGCTGTTAACACAGTTTTTAAATTACTCTTTTCATCTTTCAATATAGATGTAGCTAATTTTTGCTGTACTAAAGCTATATTGTATAATAATACTGTATCATGAGGTGATATATGTCTAGCCTGAAATAGTCATTAAAACATTTTACATAATAATATAAAACAACAGAAAGGGACAAATTTAGATAATATTTAGCTAACGATTCATTTAGGCAACATTTAAGAACTCCAGTAAGGTGTGATATACATAACAGTCATGATATCCCCATTACTATAATTTTCCAACTGGCTTTCATGAAAGATTCATTTATCCCTGTTCAATGAGTGCTAGAGATAAAAGTCCCTTTAAATTCTAAGCCCTATTCCAAACTGATGATTCAATACAATAGGGTGAAATTGTCATTAAATCATTCAATCAGATCTGACAGAAAATAATTTCTTTTTTAAAGTTATACAATTGTCTTAATATTTGCTTTAACATCTCATGTTAGGTTCAGCTATTCATATCTCTTATCAGAATTGAGTTCCGGCATCAAGTTTCTTCCACAAATTAATCAAAAACGCTGGTAGTTCCAAGGTGTTATCAACACTCTCATGGGCAGTTATTACAAGCGTTTTTGTTGAATTATAAGAGAATCCGATATCAGATTATAAGTTTGGTATGGATAGTTGAACCTATATCTTTTAGCTGTTTAAAGGAAATAGTTAGAAGACTATATATATTTTAACATACCTTGAGGAGAACTGTTTTACATTCCTGTAGTTTACCACATCTAAAATAAGCTCTAGCTAAATATAACATAACTTCTTCATTATGACTCTTAAAAAACTTCTTTAAACAATTCTCATACTGAAATATATACACAGAATTTTATTATTAACGTTAATGGCTAGTGCTATGAAATGAAATGAATTTTAGTACCTTATTTTCTACACAAGACGAGGCAAAAGAAGACATGCAACTTTATGCAGTGCACAATAAGGGAAATTTTGACAGAAGAGCATCACTATTATACTTGTTTGTAAATATTCAATATATCAGAATACAAGATGTGTAAACTTACCATTTGAACTGCAGCTACATATTGTTTCTGTTCAACATAGATATGGGCAATATTTAACCAGACGTCACAGAAATCAGCTGTAGCTTCTCTTACTTGGGCAAATACATCTCTCCCTTCACCTACACATCCTTTATGAGCTAAAACACAGCCTGTAGAGAAGATAAACTGAATCTGTAATTGAAATCTCAACAAACTTGATTCATTTTATGGTGACCCAATTTCGCCAGTAAAGTCACGCAAATCTGCATGGTTTAATAATTGGATGAGCAAACGTGCATGTAAATTCAGGACATGACTATCAATTTGGCTGTCATATTTGATTTAAGCTCACAAACAAACATTTGGAACTCTCTTTATAAATTTCTTCTTTGCTTCTTTTTATATAAATATCCAACTTTTCTGATCCAAATTCAGTAATACCACTCCATTGAATCTTTATCCCAATATGTCCCGACTATAAAGTTTTTAGCTTTAACGATCTTGATACAAACATCAAGTACAAATTAAATAAAGAAACACTTACCTATCCCATTAGCAGCCCAAATATTTCTGTCATCATTACGTAATACTTGTTTATACATAGCTAGAGCTCGGTCTTGATGTCTTTTTTCCTAAAAGAGAATGAATGAGTTTTCATGAATTTTAAGGAATGATATTGTTATCATCATGCCATGATTGTGAAATAAAATGAATAATTATAAAATCAGAGTTCTTCATGAGATATTGGCACTATAAAGTACACACATGTCTATCACATGTTGCGTACATGACATTTGACAGGTTTCCTAATAGGAAGGGACATAACTCTAGTTATGGAATGACATGTTTCCACTGTCCGGATTTTCGTTAAACCGCACGATTTTATCGAGAACCCGAATGTGCAGATAAACGGGGCTCCACTGTACTGTTTTTTATGAAGGCAAAGCCATGCAGTGAGGAATGAGGGAAATTGTACCAGGACAGTGGCATTGACCTTTTCGATTTTCAACTGTCTTGGGATCAATAATATGCACATGTGAAATCAGTTATATGTCTCATCCAAACAACTAGATAGCCCCTACAACCCCTTGTTATAAATAGTGGTTGCCAAAAACAAAAGTAACAAAAGTTACATACCTTAGCTTTATCTTTCATTGGTTGATGTAAAGTCTGTAACCAGACATTGCCTAAAGCTATCAGAGAATAAGCATCATCTTTAGTACCTGGTCTCTGTAAAATTCTCTCAAATTTCTTCTGTCCAGGTCCCCATTCATGTTTAGCCAAATGTAGGTTTCCGATAAGTGACCAGGCATCAGGGTGATCCTGAAGAAGAAAATGAAATGAAATTTACTAAAAATAATTTCAAGCCGAACTGTAAATTGTTTTAAGCTTCCTACTTTTTACTACTTTTACTTTACATATCATCTACAATTAATTAGCCATCATATTCCTTTCAAGTTTTCTCTCAAAAAAGTCTTGATCATATTCCAAAGGTTGTTACAAAGGTTGTTACAAAGGTTGTTACAAACCAAAAAATAAAAGTTTTGTTCTCTGCTTTTGGTATTTAGATTTTTTTCTTGTTCAATCAAATACAGATTGTAGGTATACCTGATTAATCTGCAGAGCTTCTTTAAACCAATCAGACGCTTCATAAATCTGTCCTCTATCTCTAGCCATACATCCTAACCTTAAATAACCTAAAAAACACAACCAATACTTATCTTGATTGATATCCACATTGACAAAGGAACACAGGTTCTATTGGCATATTCAAAATCTTAGAAAGAGAGCAGGCATACCTCACTCTTGACGCTTGATCAAAGAATGAAATCAGTGGTTATCAAGGAATTTCCAAGGCTTTCAAAATCATTTTCTGCACTTTAAAGGCTCAAAACTTTTCCGTGCAAACTCCAAACATTATAGTTAACATGTTCAACTTCAAATGACATTACATGTACTTGAAAATATATAAAATACATACAAATAGAGTTGAAAAAATACATTAAGAGTCAAGTGTACTTACAGTCAACATAATTAGGATGGTCTCTAAGGATGGTTCTGTATAATTTATCAGCTTTATCAAATTCATTTAAAGATTCATACAGTCTAGCTAGATTATAGGTAGTAGTAACTGATATAGCACTATAGTAAGTTTCATCATGTTGAGCTTCATTACGTGATCTTTCTTGAGATGCTTCATAATATTTCTAAATAACACATCAGTAATAATCAAATAAAAATGGAAAGTCTATTTTGAAATGAATGTTAAATTTTCAGTACAGAAACCAACCCTTTTCATCTTTTTCACAGTCATAGTCTCAAAAGACTTTACGCTTTTCCATGTCAGCCATTCCCAACTGCATCTTTGACAGAAGGAAACCATGGAAACTCCAGACCTCCAGACAAAAGTCCAAGCACATAAAATGCAAACCGTTCTATAACAAATATGCAATGATGAAATTACCTTAGCCTCCTGAAAGTTTCCCAGTCTGAAATGAAGAGCAGCAACATTATTTAATATTTCTGGTGGGACGTCTGCTTGTACCTTCTCTTTCAGTATTCTAGTAGCTGTACCATAAGCTGATAGAGCTCCCTGTACATCAGACTGCTCCAATATCTGGGCTAATTCAATCCATGCTTCAACATCATCAGGAAACTGTTCAGTTACTTTCTTTAAATGTTGCTGAAATTCGTAATCAATTTTGCATTAAAAAGCAATTATATCTAAATTATAATATATAAACAAATTTTACATGAAGCTTTTAAAGGGATTTGATGACATATAATGTCAGGGCTGTACTCTACTGAACTTGAATAAAGAACAACAAACTAAAATTTAGCATGAGCAAGATAAACCTGAGTAAAATTAAGAAACAAAATATCGAGAATAAATGAAGTAACTCAGAAAAAAAAGGCAACAAAATATCTAGAAAGACTATTTACCTTGGCTGTGTCCTTTTTATCTTGATCAAATGAATTAGAATATAATGATCCTAAAATCTTCATAGTTTCATAATTTCCTGGCTGAGCTTTTAATACCCTCTCAAAACATTGAGATGCCTAAAATCAGAATGAATTTGATTGAAGATGTCTGAGACCCAATTTCATTAAAGTATGTTATTATTTATATATATATATTTCGATCATCTTATGTTTGTTACACACACAGTTGATGTCTTACTTACCAACATATAAATTATTATTATCTAGTAAGTGTTTGCAATATGTCTCGTTTGACATGTTTTATGATTTTAGATACGGTTCATCCTTTGTTAAACATTTGTAGAAAGTTTACCAGCAATTGTAGTAAGTTGGACCAATGTACATAAGTGTTGCCAAAATACACTTGACATTTCATGTGGCACTATAATAACAGGGGTATTGTGTCTGGGTATACTGAACTATATATCTAATTGTTACTTATAAAACTTACATTATCATTGTCTCCTCTATAGATATACATCTGACCCAATCCAAAAAATGGCAAAACAAAATTAGTAGGAGCAAACTGAGTAGATTGATAATAATACTGGAAAGCTTGATCATAATCATCCTGTAATATATTATACAAATAAAACCTGAGATCAGAAATATTTTGCCAAGCTATTATGTAATAAATATGTGCTATAACCCACATAGTGCATAGACTTTCCAGGTTTTCATAAAATCGACCATTATCGAAGGGAAACTGTTGTTTTAACCAAATAAGTCAATTGAACCTGTAGCCTATCAAAGAGTTCAGGCCACCAATAAACTCTATAACAAGCAATTAGTATCATACAAATTTGTACCATCACCATCGTTACTGTATGAAATTGGTATCTCATCCCACAAATCGCCAAATTCTGTGTTCCGTGAAGATTTTATTAGTTTAAATATTTACCTGCACATGAAAAGCTCTAGCTAACTGGTAACAACTCTCAGCTCTCATAGCCTCATTTTCTGTATTATGGAAAGCATGTAAAGCTAAAAACTGTACTTTTTGATAATCCTGTAATATGAGTAATAATATTAATATTTAGCTCTGTCACTGTCTAACTAGGCTGAGATGAATACAACCTAAATTTTTAAAATTTACATTGAAACATTAATATTAATAGTGTGTAAAATTCTTATCCAATAAACACTGTGTAACATTAATCTGCTTTCACTGTTGATAGACAAATATTCTCACCCATCACTTGATGTCCAACTTTTGTTTTTGACGATAAAAATATTTCCAAATACATGTTATGTCCTTAGAGTAGACCCAACAAAGACATTTTCCACAAGTAAAACAATGATCACTTACCTTCTTATAGAAGAAATGATTAGCTAAATGATTGAGTACCATAGGATTAGAAGAATCTATTGTATAAGCCTTCGAAAGAAGTTGTACACCATTTTTAATAGCATCTTGTGCTTTTGAGTTCAACTCTAAGATTGCTAGACCTACTAAAGCTCCAACACACTGTGGGTCTAACTGTAGGGCTCTCTCAAATGCCATTCTAAAATATAAAGAAGTACACATTGATTTGGACTGAGATAGGAACTGTGTGTTCAGGGACCAACATTTGGCAATATTTTAAGATCACAGCTGAATGTCATAAAAATTTCCCTCATTATGTACCACATGGTAACACAAATTTGCCAAAAATGTCATGCAGTTATGTGTTATGTATAACACCCTCATTTGTTCATTAAACTCTTCTGCAGTCATTATTCAGTCAGTATAATACCAACTTATAAATGTTTAGAAAGGTTCATTTGCAAAATAGGGTTATTTAAAGTTTAGTCAATTTTTTCCAGTGTTGTTTAACTTCAAGCTTACCTGGCTTTCTCTAGTCTATTCAATTTCACAAAACAGTGGCCCATTCCTAATCTGACTGATGCAGGACAGTTGGGGTTGGTTCTTAAAGCTTTTTTATAGTAGGCCAAAGAACTTCTAAATTCTTTTTTATTGAAGGCAATACAAGCTTTACCTAATAGAGATGGTATGTTGTTACTGGACTGAAATAAATATGAAAAACATTTTTTAATATGAGTATGTGGCAATCTTCTTATAATAATTAAAAGTATTTACATAAATCAGACGGTTTTTTTATAAAGCAAATGAGGTTATTTGAAGGAGAATTTTTCTCAGCACAAATTCTATATTATGATTTTATATAGATATGACTAATAAATAATAAAGCTATACAAACCTGATTTAAGACAAAATTAAACTGTGCATCAGCCTGGTCCATTTTATCTCCTTCCAATAAACAGAAATAAGCTCTGCCGAGTAAATGGTTCTAGAAATTGCAAAAAAAAAAATATTAATATGGATATAAGATAACCATGGTAAGATCTAGTAAAGAGTTGTAACCAGTAAAGATTCACAATTTATGTGTAGTAAAGGAAAGGAAACAACCATAAATTTTTCTGACTCTGAGCCAGCAGATTTGATAAATTTACTAGCTCTGTTAAAATGTTTTAGTCTCAATATTGCAATAACCACCAAGATTTCAAACACAATTGTCCTGATATTCAAAACAGTTTCAGTTCCAAAAGCTTTATATATGTCTAATCACTGAATTATAAACATAAATGTGAAAGATTGATTTTACCTGATCGTACATAATGATTTTATCTGCTGTAGTATAGAGTAGTGTAGCTTTAGTAAATAATTCTCTTTTAGTGTCTTTATTTTTCTCTTTATGGGCCAACTGTACATAATAGGCAGCCAAAGTATCCAAAGACTGCATCTGATCTCTTTCAAAGTTCTGGTAATCAATTCCAGAATCAGTTCTAGAAGATTCCAATATTTTAACAAAATCTTCCACAAATCCTTGTTTGTAATATTCCAACTGAAAAAAGAAACAGACAGTTCAATAATTTAACCGAAAAAGACAGGGGAAGGCAGGTGACCTTGAATCTAAATAGATCATATATTTTTATATTCCATGTTCAACAATCAGGAAATAAATATGGGATAAGTGGGAAATCACTGCCAAGATATGGCCCATATTGCAAATTGTTATCCTTATAAATCATAATGCTTGTTTCTTTTAACAAAAACTGATGAAGTCAATTTCATACAAACAAAACTGAAATTCTATTACCAAAATTGCTAAAGATGGAGCTTATCAATATAAAGAAATAAGCATTTAAAACTTACAGCCAATGTGACCCAGATATGAAGAGGGGCCACCTCCTGGCGTAGAATGCTGAGAACTTCATCTCCTTCTGGTAACTGATCAAGATCTAACTCAATTACCTGAAAATAAAACAGTATGCCTATAACTATGAATCTATTTTTTTGTTATATAAGTAGTCAACACTGGCTAGCCATTAAAATGTATACGCTATAACTATGTGACAGAACTGGAAACAGGTACTGTAAGTCTACAGCCAGTCATCTTCACAATGTCTAAAATATACCTTGACTTCAATAGCTACCTTCTTGTATCACATAATGCAGCCATTTGATTGGATTATACCTCAGTGAATACAGACAATCAACAGTCCTCAACATTAAAATTATATCTTATGGTTTACAGCATTTCAGTACAGGGCTCTTGTTATTGTGAAGATGAGAGTTTGCACGCATTTGTCATAGTCAAACCAAGTCTAAGTAAAGTAACTAAAAAATGTGAGACAACATTGTTGCTAAATGCAAAGGAAAGAAGAAAGGATTTAAATTTGATCATCAGATCAGAGATATAACCATGTAAAAATTACTGCACCTTTTACTATGAATATTATCATAAAAGATTCAAGTCATAGGCTAATGAGACGAAAACATGGAATTAGAACAAGTTGCACACCTCTACTCCGATTATCATCTGGATAATCTGTTGTATTACTGATTTGCGACATGTTTAGACCATTCACTTTTAATCTATGATACCTTGATTTTTAGACTAACGACTACAAAATGAAATGATTAGAGAGTAAAAGAGTAAAATACCTCGTCTGTGTCTCTCAGCGGAATTTCAATGGATCCTGCCGCCATGTTGCCGGTTTTAGGGGTAATTTGTTTCTATGATAAAATTAATCTTATTCCACAATCGATTTTTTCGGATTTACCTGCAAAAAGTTTTTAAAGAAAATATTGATGTGATTTTAGGGTCATAATCAAGATAAACATAAAAATTGAATGATAATTAGGGTATCAACTTGGTAAAATATATATCACAATAACTCCTCCCTATCAAAAGATAACTCAACAAGGACAAGATACTACAGACGACAACTAAATTCTTAAAAATGAGATGGAGAAGTGCCATTGATATCGATTGACTCCAGAATGGAAAAAAATCGAACTTATATTTTTAGTACTTTCATTATGTCAAATTTGAACTTTGGATTTTGAAAGATCTAAATTCTAAAATGAATGAATTAAGCCAAAGATAATGATGAAACAAAATAGCTAATTTATAAACCTATGAAGCCCCTAAGGCGCAATTGTAAACATATTTATTTATTATTTCGTTTAAATGAAATAATTATTTATAAACCCTATGTTTATTTCATTTAAACGAAATAAGTAATTCGTTTAAACGAAATAACTAATTAACCCATCTTTTTATTTCGTTTAAACGAAATAAACATAGGGTATTTCGTTAAAACGAAATAATTATTTCGATTAAACGAATTAATTATTTCTATTAAACGAATTAATTATTTCGTTAAACGAAATAATAAATAAATATGTTTACAATTGCGCCTTAGGGGCTCCGTATAAACCCCATCACAATGATCTTATAAACCATGTCCCCTTATCAATGAAAAGATTACACTTTAACTTTGTATAAGGCTGAGAATTTAATATATATATATAAATATAATATATTTATGACATCATGAATAGGCCTTAGTTCCTACTAATAGATTACCTGCCACTCAGTGGCGCCATCAGCCTCCTGAGACTGAGAGTACATATAGGGGGCAGACGGATTTAACTGAGGGACAACTGTCCAGATTGAGATTCAAAATGCGGTAGCTCTGTGGAAGAGCCATAGATACGAGCAAGAAATTTTGGAAAATTTAATATATTTTTTCATTCTGACATATATATAAAGTGCAAGTGCAAATGGGGTTACAAACCATTTTTCTAGGAGGGTAATGCTTCAAAATCCTCAAACTCGCAGGTACAAGGAATCTGCTTGACCAATCAAGCAATGGAACCACAAGTGTGCATATAATAAGACAAGTTTAAAGTTAAAGGAATACTTTATTCACAATATAAGGTGAATATTAATATAATATTTTATAATATTTATCTATATATACAAGTAAATGTCTTAGACATTACATGATTTTCTAAAATATAATACAAATTGTAGACAGTGAAAATTCATTTTTTTTGTCAATGTTAATGGTAACAGCAATCTGTATAATTCTAAAGCTACTTTCCTTAAACTGAATTTTATCCACATATTCATGTGATTTTCAGCAAAAATTAAGGACATTTTCTTTTTGATATTTTTCTGAAGAAAGTATGTAAATTTATAACATTTTTTATCTTTATCAATCCAAATTCTTTCTATGATTATCAGAACTATTTTAAAGCTTAAATATTCCAATGCACAAACAAAATCAATAAAATCAAAAACACTTTTGATAAACATAATGATTCAACATAATTTTGCCTTTATTACTACGGTAGAATTCATTGTTTGTTCTGAAGGTCAAAGACAAAGAAATGATTATAGATATGTTTAAGAAATTTATTTAATTGGTGGTTTTATTATATATCTTTTGCATATATTTGAACATTATTCAAATTTGGTGTAATTTGCTTCATATAAAGTATTCAATATAAAAAAAGGGCAAAATACTTAAATTTATAAATGAAGTCACTTAAATGAATGTCTCAGTAGAATATGAATAATCTATAAGTGTTTGGGGTAGCTTCAAGAACAGGAGCTGTTAGTTCATCCTTTTCCCATTGAATAAAGCTTAACGGGTTTTGTTTACACTAAAACATAAATTTCATCAACATTGGTAATAAGGATATTAAAAATCTTTTAGCTTTATTTTGGACTATTTTATCACACCATAATTTTTTTCTATTTTCAGCCTGAAAAATTGACCCATACAGCTACTTTAAAGTGTAGTTTATAAATTTGGTCACAAGATGTAGAGATAACAATATCTAAATATTAATCTAAGATTTATTACTGTCAAAATATATCCTTGAGCAATATCATATCTATCCTATATTTATTTAAATTGTTTTTAAGATATTTATGACCATGGTAATATAATTTTCAAGTAGACTTAAAAGCTGATTTTCAAATCAAAAATGTCCAGGACTGTTACAATGAATTTTTGAAGTATTGCATTTGAGCACTTGCATCGCAACATTATGTACTTTAGCACATTTTGTGATACTTTCTTAACAATTCCTTTAATATCATCTAACATTTGGACTATTTTAATAACATTTTGTCTAATTCTAACAATGGATATACTTCTGTGTGAAAGAACTATCTCTAATATATTGTTCATATAAAACTATACTCTATAAGAAAATTAACATAATATAAATGCTGTTATAACAATATTTGAGTTTTTTCATTATTTACATGTACATAAAGCATAGATCATAATGGGTTACTTGTCAGTTTCAACATGAAAACCCTTGAGCCAGCACTGTCAATGAAGAATTTTTAAAAAATTTGTGCGACCTATGTCAGGTTTTCTATTATAAACTAATTACCGATTGTGGTTACACAAAAGATATCAGATAGCTATTAAAAATTGTTATCTATTTCTATATATATTGTTTAAGGAATCTCATTGGTCAAGAACTAAATCTTCAACCGATGAAAATTGATTGAAAAAGTTTTTGTCTATTGGCTTAAGGATCAGCTGTCCAATTTGACTTGTAAACCTAGAAAGTTGACCTCTCTTTCAATCAAAACGACCCTGTTACATGAATTATATCGTTTAAAAGGAGACTAACAAGTGAATAACCCTTTGACGAAAAACAAATTTCAAATCATCTCAAGGATTCTGAATTGATTGAAGATTATATAAGTCAACTCTCCTTCAACGTATCCTCAAATAATTTATTTATCTTAAAAGCACAATTTTGACATCATTTATTGACAAAATATATCACGAAATTATTGCTATCATGAACAAGGAATGTTAAGGTGGAAAAGAAAAAAAATTGAATGTAAATCATAGGGTATAGACAATAACTTTGATTCGAAATTTGTGACATCATTAAAGGGGATCAGGGAGTCCTTTGTCCTTACAGCTAATAAATCTAAATGCAACATGGCAGCAACTGTCATTTACCTATATTTAACTTTCTATCAAAAATTAAATTTGAAATCATAGAGGTCAAATTCTGCAATTTTTCCAGTTGATATTTTGATATGACTGTTTCACTAATGTCTGAGAGGAATCATATGAGAGACTTGTGAATCGCAAGTAGACGTGAGCATTAACGGAAAGTTTAACATGCAATTTATCATTTTCCTTGACTCTTCAGAGGCTTAATTTGACATTGATCATAATTACAAAACAACCACAACCAAGGACTCTGATTGGTTGATCAAACATATAAAGTGGTTAGTTATCAAGAGTGAAAAGAAACATAAATTTTAAATAATTATGACATAATGAAAGATAAATCATACCCTATCAATCAATTAAATCATAATTGGCTATTTGACTACCGTTCATCTTGACCAATGACCTATCAATGTTCCCTCAGGGTTTTGACTATTGTCATTTTAAATTGCCCTATTTTGTAAGTTCTTAGTCTACATATTACAAATTACTTCTAAGTTAAGTGGCTTTTACACATTTTTACATAACTTTTGACAGCAATGATTTAAGAGATTGAATGGGGGTTTTCTAGCCCTTTTTCGCATCATACCTATTCCTGTCTAACTTAAGTGTAATCTCAAAACATTTACACAAGTGACTAGGGAACAATACATACAAAACCTACAAAATCTCTTTCGCAACTCTTTAAATTTTCAAGGCTGCATCAAAAGTTAGACTGTTTGTTATGCTTAACAGCAAATTTGAGTTAATACTAAAATACGGCTGTTCTATGCTATCAAAATAAGTGATATTTACTGGCCTCTTAATCAGATTAAAGATGGGAATAGACGAGACAAGTTACTGTATATATGTGGCAGGATTGTTGTTGCAATGGAAAATAGAAGTCAATCATGTCCCCAGATCCGTACATTGTGTATTTGTTGCTTCTATTTTTAACTGTTTCTACAATCCGATACCATTCAACCAATTTAAAGAGACAGATGTGCCATTTTGAAGGGTTGATTTTAGTCTTGAATATATGTACATGTAAATAGTCTTCCCTTTCAAAATACTTCAAATTAGGAATTTTAATCACTATTTCTATATATATGTCTTTTCTTTATATATCAAAGAGTATCTTAAAATGATGAGCCTTCACTTTAAAACCCCAACACAGATAATTCTGGACAAACATGGATCTGAAGGCTCAAATTTTGACTGTGACCTGTGAATACTATTACTGATTAGATCAGCTAAAAAATTCCAGTTTCTGAGACTAAAGTATGATTGGTCAAACAAATGGCCTATTTGTCCCTTTAACACAGTATCTCGTCCCAAAACAACCCAAAATGCTAATTCATCTGATTATCAAAATACACAAGAATTTTGATACAAAAGCAAACAACTTAATACAAAAAAGCTAAATGTATTGCTTCATAAGTTCTTTAAGAACAACAAAATAACTTAATAATAATTTCAAAGCAATTTACAAGCTTTTACCATGAGCCTTTAGTCACAAAATGTTTGCACATATTTGTTAATTGGTGAGAAAGTGTCATAATTAATGGAAATGCCTTGATTGCAGCTTTTGAAGAAACACCCTTACAGAATAATCAACTGTTTAATGATGAAATTGACAAAAAGGCGGCCAGTTTAAAAATTAAAATTTTTTCTTCACTTGCTTTATTTAGGTCTGAAACATGCCCTGAAGACCAAGGTATTACAGAAGACATTTCCTTCCAGCAAAAATAAGCACTTTTCTTTCAAATAATACTGTTTGTTCATGCCTCAATGCGGTTTTTAATACCTGCATGCAGTGCCCAACAGGCTCATGGTTTAACAAAGTCAAAAGTTCACTAACAAAAACAATCTTTTTGACAAAAAATTAACACAACAAAATTTGTTCAATGGAAGAGCTATATGATAAAACAAATATATAAAATGAAAAAAAAAAGAAACTAATCCCATAATGATCCAAAATGCCAAAAGATTGGACAAATTCAGTCTGAACTTTGATTTTACTGAAAATTTCTTTTTCAAATGTCTAAAGCTCTAAAAAAAATCCACATTGGAATTCAGGAATGGCATTAGGGAGACAAGAATAGATAAATGATGTGTACAAATATTGCGTAAAAACCTAGAATTAGGAATTTGCACGTAACCCTCTATGTGTTCTAATATATAACAATATAATTAATATACATCCCTATCACCATTAGTTATTGGAATAGATCATTATTTAGTTTGTACATTATCAGATCACACATAACATCTAGCTCTTTTTATTCTAGAAATACTTAAACTAACATAATGTTACTAGTAGTAAAAGCTTAAAAGTCAAGAAAACTGGTGAAGTAGACATAAAAATAGTCCATTTCCAATCCAAGATCTTTTTTCAACCCAGTTATTTAGCATAAATTTCACTCTAAAATTGGCCAAAGGATTGTTTTATGGAAACATGCCAGAATTTAAATCAATTTACCATTAAAGCCATAAGGTTTTAACTATATTTCGACCAAAAAACAAATCAGCAACAACTACTTTTAGTAACTCTTGAGCAAAGAAATCCATTTTCTTTTTTCAGAGAATTTAAACTTGCTAAATGTGTTTGTGTGGTCCAATATGTAGATATATAAATGATCTAGAAAGTATGAAACATTAAATTGATAATAATAATATGATCTATAATTTGTATTTGTCTATATTATATCTAGAGATGGAGCAATACACAAAGTTCATTATTATTATTATTATTATTATTTGCGCTGAACGTAATTGGCAGGGAAAAATCCTTCTTTTCCATTTGATAATCGACCTTTACACCATCCCATTTCATCCTTAGCTTCAACTTGTAAAAATACTTCACCTAAAAATAGTAAACAAATAAACATAAGATAAATAAACATCAAAATGGCTACATATTGTGTAAACAACATATCTGCTTTGATTGTCCCTAAATTAGAAAGAAATATTTTAATATAGCATAGTTGGCAAAAAAACTGGACATAAAATATCTCTTTTGGAATAACATTTTGGCCTTAATGGCCCATTTTTGAAAATATACGCTATATATATGAAAGCTGATGCCCTTGTAAAAGTAAATTAGAAATTTCCATTTGATGAAAGCAGACGTCAAATTTCAAACTATCATTCTATAAACTAAAGACTCAGACCACAACCATTGAATGAGGTCAATGTTGAACTGCCTCCAAAACCCAACTATAATGAAACAATGAAGTGAGGTCCAGCCAAAATAAATAATTTGTTTAATGTGTAAATGTTTCACTTCATCTACATTGTTTACACGTTACATTCAATTACAGACGCTCAGTGGTACGCCACAGAAAAACAATTTTAAAATATCTTTTAGAACTAGATATTGAAAGTTAACTTTCGTTACATAAAATGAAATACAAAGAATGCAGTTTAAATCCAAAATTGTGTTACTGAATATTGGGCTAATAAATTAGGGAAAAACTATGCACTGTGCAAAAAAAGAGGGTCTACTCAAAAGTTGATTAAACCGTACTGAAATAGGCACTAAGCTATGTATATTTCATTGGTTTCAACAGCTTCATGTAAGCTTTCCATTTAGCTGTAGTTGCTAGTTAAGTTTGATCAATTCTTACTCTCTTTACTCTTGCCATTTTAGAATCTATGTTTAAATTTATAAAAGTATCCTCATAAATAAACAAGTAGATTGAAGAATTTATGCTATAAAAGGAAAGAGGATAAAAACTATTTTTGAATGCATTTAACATCTAGATTAAAATTCCTGCATTTTACATTTAATTGCGTATGTATAACTTTAATGCTACTGAACTTATTTCAAATTCAATTTATTATTTTGTTTCCTGCCTTATTTACATTAAGATGTATTTAAAATTAATTTGTGTTAATCACAATTGCAAATATGCCCTGCACTTGAATAAATACTAGTAGTTTAACCTATATATAAACAATATCTACAGAAAACAGACATTTTAAGGTTGTTTTGCTATAAGTTTCATTTCAGGAATATGATAAAAATTTTACATGCAAAAAGACTTAATTGATAAAATTATTTGCTTAAGAAATATAGATTATACACATTACATTGAGACAGATAGTATATTTCTGCTCCTTATACTTTGAACTTATATTAGCTTAATAGAGATAACCTTGTATCCTATACTAAATCTAAGGTTAAAAATATATCAGTTTTTGAATGTTGACAGAAAACTAAGAGCTAATATTGACAATGATCAGTTTAACTAAGGTGGTATGTCAATATGATATAAACATTATATACTACTGGAGTATCAAATATAACCAAAAGTTATACACAGTAAACTTTCTAAGCTAATCAGCACTTTGAAATGAATAGTTCTTGCTTCTGACAAAGGCTCATGCTTATCAAAAATAATATTCTCATTTCACTTTAACATAGTACATACTATCAGTATATAACCAAAAGTTACACAGATTAAATACTACTGGTATATCAAATATAACCAAAATCTACACATGCTTGAATCTCCACTTTTTGTCTAAAAGCAGATTCTGTGTCAGAGCAAGAAATAAGCTCCTGTCAATTAATTCACAAAAACAACTAAAGCAAACTGATTTTGTTTCTCATCTTTTTAACCCCCATATAATTTTGCCAAATTAAGCAAAGAGGTTGGTAGCAAAAACATTCAAGGGCGAGATACTGAATTGACTCATCAACCCTTGTTAAATCAAGTTATATGTTGTTGTGAAGTATAATCTAGTATGATTACTATTGTCAACACATTTTAATCCTCTACCTAACGAACTTAGTCACTAGTTGTTAACTGTTGTAAACATGGTTTTAATATCATCCGGCATATATATATACATAACTGACCATATACCTATATCATTACTTTTATTAGGGCTACTGGTAATAACTGACCATATACCATACACCTATATCATTACTATTTATAGGACTACTGGTAATAACTGACCATATACCATACACCTATATCATTACTATTTATAGGGATACTGGTAATAACAGGTCACATACTATACACCTATATCATCAATATTTATAGGACTACTGGTAATAACAGGTCATATACTAAACACCTATAACATTATTATTATTAGGACTACTGGTAATAATAGGCCATATACCATGCACCTATATCATTACTATTATTAGGGCTACTGGTAATAATAGGCCATATACCATACCCCTATATCATTACTATTATTAGGGCTACTGGTAATAACTGACCATATACCATACCCCTATATCATTACTATTATAAGGAATTTTAGGTTGTAACATTGCGGTTAAGCAATGTTACGAAAACAAGGGCACAGGCATGTAGGCGTAACCTCTAGTGATAGAGCAATGTTTGTGAAGTTAGTTATTATTAGGGTTACTGGTAATAACTGACCATATACCATACACCTATATCATTACTATTTTATAGGACTACTGGTAATAACTGACCATATACCATACACCTATATCATTACTATTTATAGGACTACTGGTAATAACTGACCATATACCATACACCTATAATATTACTATTTATAGGAATACTGGTAATAACTGACCATATACCATACACCTATAATATTACTATTTATAGGACTACTGGTAATAAATGACCACACACACCATACACTTATATCATTACTATTAATAGACTACTAGAAATAACAGGCCATATATCATATGCCTATAACATTACTATTTATAGGGATACTGGTAATAACTGACCATATACCATACACCTATAACATTACTATTTATAGGCATACTGGTAATAACAGGTCATATACCATACACCTATATCATTACTATTATTAAGGCTACTGGTAATAACTGACCATATACCATACACCTATATCATTACTATTTATAGGACTACTGGTAATAACAGGTCATATACCATACATCTAAATCTGATCTAAATCTATTATCAACTTACCAACATCAAAACTTAGTTCATCATCTTCAGTAGCTTCGTAGGCATACATAGCTTCTACTGTCCAACCTGACACTGGTGGTTCATCTTCTGCTTCTTGTTCATCAAAATCATCACCAAATGGATTACCAGCAGCTTCTTCACTGTAAGAAGAATGGAAATAATTGCATATATCTGTGTAATGCGTTGACTTCATTATTGTTTATACAGTTAGAAGAGCAGCCATATTGCTTAGTCATTCTCCCGATGGATCTGATTGGCTGTTTTTCCTAGCCTAGAATCCAATCAAATCACAATCTCATGTAATAAAAACAAAGTGCCTATCAATGTATAGGTATAAAAATAGTTTTCGTAATAACTTGACTTTGTGAAGATGTGTGTATGTAAGCACCGACCAATCTTTGTCCTTAAGCAGAAGACAGTTTCCTTGCTACTAACATGTTGTTGGTTTTCCTTGCTATGAATAAATTAAAGGCAAATACTAATTTCACTTCACACAAGTAATGAATACTTACTGATTATTGTGAGATTGAGCAGGTGGTGGTACTGAACTACTAGTGTAAGTTGAGGGTGTTGGTTGAGCTTCCTGACTGTGTTGTTGATCATAGGACTTACTGTTTCTGCCTCCTCCTGTACTATCATAGCTGCTGTCACGCTGATGTCTAATACTAGTTATTGTAATACCATCTCCTGTTACTATCTGAGATTTAGCTCGTTTTGAGATAGATTGCAGGTCTGGAGAATATTCCTGAAATATTAAATGATGAAATGTTATACAGCTGCCGTGCCATAATTTCTTGCATCAAGTTGTACAGGTTCTCATTTTATTGTACCACCTTAACAGTTGGAAATTTCTTTCCCAATGTTTTTGACTGTTTTGACTCACATATCACTATTACATATCACTGTGGCTCTTCGAAAGGATAAAAGAGCAAACCCCCATGTCTAAATATAATCAATTTTCAAATTTTACTGGAAGGATGTATATCAGCAATCCTTACCTCAAATGTGGGCCATGCCATAGGCATATCAGCACCATTATTTGCAGACCACCATTTTAAATCTTTATCAGCGTCATTATTACCTATTGCTGAATATAAATCGGTGTATACTTTTTTGAATCTGAAATTAGGAAGTTTAGGTGGTTTTCATTCTATTTCTATTTTGCATCTGAAAGAACTGAATAACTAGTAACTTGCCTTGAAACAGATCACAATTATCAATGCCTACCTCAATGCATGGCAATTCATTCAAGACTTCCAGATTTTCTCAACATATGCCTTAATCTACCAAACCTTAAAACAAAATGATATGACAGTCCCTACATTTGAAAGACAACATAATTTTAATTTAAGCTCAAGTAATTAATTGTTCTTACCTGGCATCATTACTGATGTCTAAACAATTGTGGATTTGAAACGCTGTTTTCTTTATAAATTCTATTCTTTTTCTTTCAAATTCTTGAGCTTTTTCAAAAACCTGAAGTACAATATAAATAATTCGTACTACACTAGCCAATATAGAACAGAATCATTTGCTTAGTGTAGATGTACCTAGTCATGTTTCGTTTAGTAAAATGTTTCTTTTAACCATTCTAAATGTTATGCATGTCACATGATTTTCAAACTGGCCAAGTAACACAATTCTATAGCCTGTTTTGTAAATACGCAAACATGCACATGAATATCATTCTGATAACCCTTCTCGTATTAAAAAGGTGATTTTAACTGAATCTATTTGAATCATGTGAACCACCATCACATCACATCAAATTAACAGGCCGTGGTTTAAACGACAATGCTACCCTCATATCAAGTAATTTATAACTACTCTACACACCTCTGTGGTATCTTCTATATATTTAGCATTATAACTATTTAAATCATTAACAGCAGCTTGGTATTTTTCTCGTGTAGCCTCAACATCATTTGTAAGTTTGCGTAATTTTTCTTGTAATTTTTTTAACTGAAAAAAAAATTGGAAAAGTTAGTCATATTAACAACCTTGACTTTCACAGATCCACGAGAATGATTGACAGCTGAATATTGACCAATCCCCTTAAAGCAGAAATGAACATTAATAATCTGTAAGAATTCTTACTAACCTGGTCTGGTGATACAGTAGCATCTCCTCTAGCATTATTCTCCTGATTAGCTGTACTCTTCTCGGTTCTACATGCTGTATGATATTCTTTACGTGCTGCCATTACTTTACCTAGCTTTTTACCCCATGGTTTCTGTGCCTACAAAACATAAATACAAATCTTCAATCTTAGCTTTAGTCAACTTTTGTTCCCCACTTTGTACCTCATTAGGCTAGTGTAGACAATTGAAATGTATTATGCAATGCTGAAAAACTGTTCTTTGCTTATTCTTCTTTGAATTCCAACAGCACAGCCTTTGGCACCCTAAGCTTGGCTTGCTGTTTCATACATACAACATGTGCTCAAAAAAACCTAGAATTTCAGGTTAGCCAGTTAGCTTTTAACTATATGCCATTTTGAAGACCATATTTCAGTCCACAAAACCTCAAAATCGTTTACAGAAGAATGCAAGAAAATAATCTTAATAACACTCTATCCTACCTTTCTGAAGCCATCTTCTAATTCTTTTGTTTCTTTAAAATGCATCATAGATTTATGGTAATTTTCTTTCTGCCAATGTTTAATAGATTGATGTACTTCAGACATGAGTCGTTCAGCTATTTCATTGTGAATATCACAAACATTATCAGCTTCTGTTAATACACTTCTCCATGATCCCTGGGTTGTACCATATTCTGGTCCTACGGTAGAAATATTGTGTTTGTTAGGAAATGTGAAAGTATCATAAATGGTCAAGTTTGAATTTGGAGGAAATGAAATAGAGGTTTACAATTTATGATTGTACTAATAAAGAGGGGTAACAATATGCACTCTGTGATGGGAAAATTTCCAATGACAGCTGCTATAGCAATCACAATTTTCTTGCCAGGACCTCCAAATAACCAAACAACTTTCAAAAAAAACCAAGGCAAGTAATCCCAGCTATGGCTATTTGAAAGTGATATCTTTGAAATTCAACAGACACCCGTAGCCTCTCTGTCCTAATGTCAGCAACTTGAGATGAGTTCTTGTCAATAAGAATAAGGATGTGAGACTCATTTCACTTATAATATAAAACATAGTTTGTTGTTCAATGACTACTTACCTTTATCCAGAAAGTCATTCCATTTTTTGGACCACTGAGCTAGATTTTTGGCATAACTTTTCTCTATATCACTCCTTGATTCTACTAAAGCTTTGAGTTGGTCACATAACTTATATCCGTTATCACATCGTTTCACTGTTCGCATATACTTTCCTATCTCCCAAAAACTGTCACTTGAAGGCTGAACCAAATCATCGTTTAACGACATTGTGCTTGTAACAACCTAAAAAATTGGAAATTTAAAAATTATAGAATTACTCATTCCCAAAAAAAGCTCATTTTCTTAGCTAACATGTAAATCAATACAAATAAATCCTTTGATTGTTAATTTGAGAAACTTGATCCTGATGTTTGTTGTACTAAACTAGTAATATAATTATATAATGACTGAATTCAAAACACATCACTAGTATCATAGCAATATGGAATGTGAGTAGCTTCCAAAATGTCTGTAATAAGTTTAGGTTTGGATAAGCTAACTGAATTTAGTAGAAATCTAAGAAAATGAACTTCCACTTAAATGATTGTTAGAAACTGCACATCAAGAGTCATTTATGCTCAAAATACCATATATCTAATGATGCTATGATATATTTTTATCAGGGTACCCATTTTAAAACAAGGGTCTCTCTCAATTGAACTTTCTCTATGGGCTATTGAAAATGCTGACATAATAAAATATATTAACAAACTAAGGATCACAAGCCTGAGGAAACGGGCTTGAACTTATCCGAATAAATCCATAAATCAAAGTTCGAAAGCCTACAAAATCACAGAGGTGGTCATGATTTAGGCCTACCAATGAAGACACTTCATACTAATTAAGTACCTTAGAAGTCAAGTCATAAATCCTATAGCTAATCCTTAGTAAAACCTTTTCACAGTATGACCACTTTTAACTGATCCTCAGGCTCATCAGGATCACTGTTAAAACAAGTCATGGGAAGAAGAACATAGCTGAAATTTTTCATGTAAGTTTTATGCTCTAATAAGCATAATCAATAACAATAGCTGGTAACAATAGTTTAATAATACATAAAGAATTGTAACTGAGCTGTGTGCTTGTAATAACACCTTTATATATGGTAGAGTAGGTATGAACTATTTTTCATTCTGAATCTTCCCTTTCCCATAACTTGGTCAATGTGGAAGAAAAACCCCAAATAACCTTAAAAATTGTCACTGAGTAAAATAAATTTCTGGACATAGAGAGAGGCTCCCTTAATAGTAAAATGGAGGTTTTATTTGCAAGGCTGATTTAAAATAGATAAGCTTACCTGCTACCTATTTTAAGCAAAGCGTATTTGGAATCTTAATTTAAAAATACAGTTGATGTTAATCATTTAATATAATGTGAAATGTTACAAACATGGCTTTTAAATATTTTTAATCGATATTTTTCTCTTGCTCACTATGTCATTTATATAGGATCAGGTCTACATAAAATGTTGTAGTCTACCAGGAAAATGGTAGATTTTTGTATTTAACACCAGTTTTGGTAATATGATACATATCTTAAACATCCTACTTCAACAAGTCTAAAGCATGAATCATTATAGGATCTGCAAAACTGGTTTGACTAACATTTTTTTTTTGATTAGACTCATTAATTAACATCCTACAAGAAATCCAAGCTCTTTCATCTTGTACCCGTTTTAATAAATAAATCAAAACCAAAACAAAATTCATTCTTCCACAAACGATATTTTATATCCCAAAACAGTCAGTTTACTCAAGTTGTTGAATGTCTTTATCACTATGAAATGATTAACTGTACATACTTAAAATAATACTGGTTCACTCAAAAAAAATTAATTGGGAAAAAAAACTTTGAAAACATTCTACAGTCTGCTCTGTAGGATGATTCTACAGACCAGACTGAACCTATCAGTATCGATATTGATTTGATTGACGAACATAATCAAAAATAAATTTTAAATGTAAGCAAAACAGTTATAAACTGTAATATGGAAGAGATGAGATAAAATACTATACACAAGCTTACCACTTTCTCGTATTCCATTGTAAAAATTCAATATTGTGCAACTGTCTCCAAGTTAATCAATTTCAAATATTATTACAATAGCCTACTCATTCAATATCACTCTTAGATAGCTTACTACATAAATAACTACTGCTGTGCCTATTTTGCACATAACATTATCAATAAATGGCCTGTATCTGACATTAAAAGTAGCCAATGCCACTGTTTGACCTAAACCACAGGGATGACAATACACACCTTTCAAAGTAGGCTTAAGAATGTTGACAGGTGTGGCTAAACACCAAAAATAACAGCATATTATTATGCAGGCTCAAAGCCAATTTCATATGCAAGAAGAGGCAATAATCCAATAAGGCTTTCTAAATATATCTTTTAGACCAATATACACAGCAAGGCTCTCTAAAACAAATACTGCAGGCCTATAAATTTATCTCTATTTATTTGGCAAATGTGTCCTTTTAAATATTTATGACATTCAACAATTGCAGACTAAAACCTTAAATAATGCAAACTTAATTCAGAACTATGTAACCTTTTTACACCTACCATGGCAATATAAAAGAAGTAGGTCTCTCCAAACAGTAAGCCACAATTAAATCAATCAATGAATCTACACTTGCCTAGATCAGAAATTTGTATAGTATGCTTATCACTATAAGAAGATGAATCTCACATTAAAATATCTTGAAAAATCTGGAGGGTATATCAAAGGCGTCCTCTCTGATTTAGTATCTTTTTGACACCTTGATCTCTCACTAACCCAGCTACTGTCAATGTCAAACTGTCAACCCTTCAGGCTCAACTTTCATCAATGAAAACAAAATGACCCGACACAAGTGAAGTGAGGTTGCCCTTTAAAACGATGTACTTCAACTTTTCCAGGCTTTGCAATCGTCAAACAGAAAAGACAACAATATTTCATTAATAATTTTTTTACCTAAAATAAAATATCTTAGGTCAAATCAATGACAAATGTAGCATGACATGAAAAGTTCACAGCTCACCTGAACTTCTAGCTTGATCGTCACAACACAATATGGCGGATGGGTGTGGCAAAATATTTTTGTGCTGAGTTCGTTTCGTCTCAAGCTAAAAATGAGAGTCGGTTCGTAACATAAGGTTTTATCTTCTTCAATTGTACTCAAATATATTAATTTGATGGAATTTTATATGTGTTTAACTTCTCGACTTTTAGTCATATCTTAATTAAAACAAACGGATGGAAAATACTGGTTTTCTTCAATACGTTTTATTTTTCTGTAAGGAATAGCATATTAGTGGTGCCTCTTGGAAATATGAAATGCGGCGGCGGCGCCGCTGGGCAGAGAGAACCCTAACGTTTTGTATTGCGTACGGTATTAAATTATAAGGTCGTCTCAATGACAAGGAGCACTAGACAAGGACCTCCGTTTATTCGGCACAAGGGAATAGATTTGGTCGAGTAGACTAAAATAAACGAACATAACCCGAAATAAACAAGAACGAAGAATTAATCTTTATTTTGCCTATTGTTTTAATTGAATATAGTAGGTTTATCTGAAGCTGTTTCATGCTTGTAGTTTAAATCTGAATGAGGAGAGGTGTGGAGATGATTGTTGGCAATCACTCCAGCTAGTCCATCATTATATTTGTCTGTATCATGGGACAACTTGGACCAATCGAAGACGTTACGAACAACAATGCACAAATATTACATCGGATATTTCGTACCTTATCATTTTTCTGGTTTTATCCATATTGATTTATTTCTAAACCAAAAATAATCGGCTAATTTCTTCCATCAATCAAGTTCATAATCATTCATTCTTATAATATCTGATTAGATTCCATTTGTCACAAACTTAGTGGTAATTCTTATACTTCTTGCTTTGTTGGTGGTTGTCGTTCATATTGCATTGGTCCATGGCAATGGAGTTGGGTCGGATACATTATTCTTAATTGCCTTAATTTCCTGTATACAATACGCAGATTGCAGAGATATCAAATTTACTGATAGGCTATGGTCTATTGAAATTGCATATTGCACTAACTGCGTTTCGGGATCTAGACATGCTGAGATCACTCTCATTGTTTTTATTCATTTCCTTGCAGATTGAAGATGATTGGTACATCATACTAAACTTAAATGGGTAATGCGAACTCAGCTGTGCCGGGTGAAAATGGAAATCCAGTATCGTCGTCGGACCACAAATATTTACTGGGTGACTTGTCCAACTTGGCACCACAGGCACAAAAACTCTTTAACTTAGGCAAACAATGCCTTGTATCATCTTTTAGAAACGACGAGGAAAAATTATTACAGCACAAATCAAATGATGGGGAACTTCTCGACCCAGAATTCAAATTGTTCAAACCTATGAAAGTGACTCAGCCATTGTTCTACGGACAAACCTATGTGAAGTGGAACAGTGTTCGTGATGTTCAATCATTGTACGCTTTTTGCGCTCCGGCGAAAACAGTTATTTACTTACAACCAATAGACGAATTTCCAGATTTTATCAAAAATTATCAACTTCAAAGGAAGACCGTTAATTTAAATTTGTTTGAACTACTGCAATGTTTTTGTCAGATTTATTTCAGCGGACTTGATGCCAAAGTTCTGCCTGAACTTTCTACAGAGAAAGTAAATTGGAAGGTGAGTAGGCCTACAGTATAAAGTTTAACAGTTTTGTTTCATTTTTGAAATCTCCAACGGAAGAAGTTTGATATGTTTATTATATAAAATTCAGTCTGTTGTCAGTCAGTTGTGTTTAACAGGTAAACGGGACTTATATATGGGAGTGTCAAACATTCATTTGAAATCAAATTTAAAACTGTTAATAGTCAGTAGCGTATTTAGGAGGAGGGAATCTCTGGCAGCCCCCATCCTCCCGGCCTCAAGAGGCTGCGACCCTTTCATTTTTGGCCTCCCTCTCAGGCATAGATACGCCCTTGGTACCTGTACCCCTTGGTTATAAGTTCTGACGAAATAGAATGTCAACTTTTTCTGTTCAGATTACATCAAGAAACCATAGCGTAACCGGAGAGAAACAGTATCTAGTCAGCGACTTTTATTCCAAGTTACAAGCTATTCTGCCGTCCAATGGATTGTGTATTCTGGGAATTATTTGGACTGATTTATATCCTCAAGAAGATCTCAATTTTGTTCTGGGTGAAAGTTCTGTGACGTGTAAATCTGCTATGTTTTGTTTTGGACGGTATGAACCTATAGGTTTTGATAAGGACACACACGTACCACTAGCGCAGATAGATGGTGATCTGATTTGGAAGCTCTTTAGGGTAAGTTATCGCATTATTAATGTTACAAAATTGGGTATTCATTCCAATCCAACTTCTGTACTGCATGAAATATTGACTGGAAGACACATTGAATGATGAACACAATGCAAAGGGATTTTTAAATCAAGTGGCACAGCTCAACTGTTCAAATTTCATATTTTTTTGTTTGTTTGCCCCAAATTAGTGTCAGAATACAGTATCAATTCTATTTTTTGGGTAAGACATTTTATACGCTCCACGGAAAACTTGTGTCTATGGCACATTCCTTGAGCTGCTGAATATAGAGTTTCAGCCTTGATAGTTGTCCCCTATTAAGTCAGTTTTCCCCCTATTCCTAATCTTGGAAAGCTGGCACCGCCACTGCTTTCATCAGCCTATCCCATGTTGTTTTCAACGCGTTCATCTATTTGATTCCATTCTGTTATGGTTTTCAGATTATCAGTCACGAAACCTGCCATCTTTTGGGACTTCAACACTGTACTTTTTTCCATTGTGCCATGAATGAGAGCTCTTCGATACAGGAGGCGATATCGCAACCATTATTCCTGTGTCCAATCTGCTTGAGAAAACTTCAGAAATGTTGCCGTTTTGATGTATTAGAAAGATATAATGCAATGTTGGCATTTCTGACGGAAATTAATGAACAGTTACCAAGTATCAAAATGACAGAATCCGAAGATTGGTTGTCACAGTGTATCCAATTCCTGAAGGAATAGTAAATAGAAAAAGAGCTGTTCTTAAGTTTTTTTATACGATCGTCGGGCCGATAAGTCCCGAATAATCAGTACAACAGAGAAGAAGCATGTTGTATCGCACTTGTACCTGGCACGCCAACACGCCGATCCGTTCACATTTGGCTTGTTGCTACATTTCAAGATGATCTGATAATGTTTCATCGAAATATCGTGTCCGACTACTGACCGTGTCTATAAGCTATATTGTCAACCCGTGCTCACTCTACAGCCAACAATTCTTTATGGATGCATTTGATTTTTATATGTCCACATGCCCATATGCCTGTAGCATGGAAGCATATTGTCGTCACACATGACTCGTCTTCGCTCTAAGGCTCTCTTGAGTACTGGTTGCCATAACTCGTCTATTCGCACCAGTAATGTCTTTAAGATTGCATTTTCATTGTTTGTTATCAAACGTTCCTACCGTGAAAGTTACGCTAATCGATTCAGTATTACGGAAACTGCCGAGGATTGCCGAATCGGTTTGTCATGTGATTTGTGAAAATTTTTACGTTGTATAGTTTGATTCTGGCTTACACCATTATAAAATATGCATGTTTGTGAGGCTTTCAACTCCAAGTTTTCTGTTTTCTTTCATTTTGCACTGCGTTTTTTTTTTACCCCTAATGCTCTACCTATATCATTTCTGGTTCTTGTTGGACTTGCTGACACCGCATACGTGCTGAAATGACGCGTGGTTTGAGCGTCAGATGTGTCATTGACTTTATTAGGATTCAGTCGTCTGATTATTTGCTTCACCAGCTTAAAGGTAGCGGCAGTCAATATCACGATATCGGAAATTCGTCCAGTTCTCCTACAATTCAACGTTACTCGGATATTTAGACAGTCGTCACTGCCACAACGAATATCTCAGAATCATTAGAGTAGACAAAGCTGTCATTAAACAAATCATCTGATTGGTTGAATACACTCAACACCAAAAGGTCTGGATAATTTTCTCTGATCATTGATGCAGAGGCATCGAAATTTAAGCAGAGATTCCCCACCTCAAAGCAGTTTTGATGTGTGTCTTCCAGTAAAAAACTCAAAATAGAGCATGTCCTGCGAGACATTCCCGTGATTACACTTTAATTTTATATTTATTGATCATAAAGCAACTTATATAACATTTACATAATCACACTTTGTTCAGGTTGAAAAGAACTTTCTCACTTTTGGTTTTAACAGTCTAAAGAATGAGCGAGGAAACATTGTATGCGATACATTAGCATATTTAAGGTAATTATAAGGCTGGGCTATCACTTCTAATAAAGCTTTTAGTATCTTCCGATCCTGAAAAATAAAAAAAAAGTTAATTATCGAATCGGCAACGGCAAAGCATAGAACTTGTTCCATTATCTGAGCTCTTAACCCTCGTCTCGCGTCCAATTTAATTATACTTCTTTGACAAGATTATGCAAAACACCACCCTTATATATTTTGCTTAAAAAAGAGCTATATTTGTAAGGAACAAAAGATCAGAACATTGCAAAAGTTTATTCATACCTGAAATATTTGTTGGTGTTGTTTTGAATTGTATAATTTTTTATCTTGTACGATATCTTCTATTAAACTTTGGTATTGTTCTAAATGAAACAAACTTTCGAATGAAAATCCCTGCATTTAGAATATAAGTTCATAAGCCTATCAATTTGGGAACTGAAATTTTTAGGTGCGAAATTCTGCAAGAAAGCAATTCCCATCTGCCATGGAAATAGGTCCCAAAAATAGCAGTATGTTGGTCTGAAATTACAATTTAATTGTTGGCTATTTCTTTTCAATTTTAGTTCAATAAATATTGTCCGAATATTCACATCAAATTCCGAGTTACGCCCCTTATCAAATTTAAAAATACCTCACTGCAGCAGATGTTTTATCGTCAGAAATTTTACTTAGGTTTCGTGTCAAAAATTAAACGACATTCCAAGTACTTTAAAAAGGAATAATTTCCCACTATAATCGGAGCCTGATCTGAAACAATTGCCTGCCTTTAGTCCAACCTCTGGTATAGCTATATATTTTGACAATTGCCGTGTACACCAGACGGCAAAAGACTGTCAAAATAGCTAATAGAGGCAGATGTTTCGATCTAATCGGAACCAAGCAATAGATGTTCTTGTCTTGAACTTTATTCGAATCGCCAGAGATTCTAGTCAACGTCGGTCTACCATCTTTAACTTAGAAACGGTGGGTCTGGTACTGCCATCCTACCGACAGGTGGTAGTAACTTGCCAGTTCGACGAGCCGTGATCATCCCCACCCCCTTCTTACCATGATATGTTACAAAGGGAATAGAAAACCCTTTAGCAGTATTATTATTATTAGATCTAAAGTTGATCCAGATTTTTTTAGACCTGGTAGTAAAGGCCACTGGTCTAACTTGACTTCTGCACGTGTCAAAAGTATTCTGACTTTCATCTGATTCTGAAATATAAGATATTTTCAATTTGTTTGACACATAAAATCTTTGTATGTTATATCATGTGTCTACCTTTTTTATTATCAACGTAACACTTTTTTGAAGCTACTATTCCAGTTTACATAAAGTGATCGCTAAAACTAAATTTCTAATGAAAGTAATAGGACGGTGGGCCCTAAAGGTCATGTTTCGACATAATTATTTGGGGGTATCAAGAATAGACGAGTTGTCACTTTAACTTTCAAACGAGGATAATTCTGAACGCACATGGATTTGAAGGCCGAGTGAGCTGTGAACACTATAACTGATTAGCTTAGCAAAATAATCCCGTTTCTGTGAGTAAGGTATAATTGGCCAAACGGAGTGAAGTTATGGGCAGGGTGAAGCCATTGTTTCATTATATGTAAAGGACCATAACTCAGAGTAATGGCAGAGATAGATCTGAAAGACATCATCAAAAGCGAAACTAACTTGATTTTCGAATAACAAGTCTATCACCACATTTACCATTAGCCTCTAATTCTATCTGTGGTATGATGATTAATATACGACGATGTTTTTCAGGTTTGATTTTCCAGGTACACCCGACATTGATAGGGTAATTGCCGGGATAATTTGGTGTTTCTATAACACCTTGGTAATATCCTCTATAACCACCGCATCTCCTATCTATAGATATAAAACATAATATAATATATTCGTATCACCTATCTACACGTGATCTATTTTGGAAATACGCCATTAATTTGATTCGTAATACAAATCGTAATTTTCTTTTTTCAAGTTACCACCGAACAATAAAGACGGGCTTAGTTCGACTGGCGATTTAAACGTCTCATCCAAACATTCACAAGCGATCTAAGCGAAATCCTTACATGAAAATGACTATGTATACCACAGATGACTCAGTTCGACTTAATCCAAGGATGGCTCAGATTTTTCAAGATGACACGAGTTATTCGTTGTTGAATTCCACAAGCTCCTCGATTCTGCCAATGACATCGTCCAGCTGGATATTTCTGTTAAATAGCACTGTACATATTTCACTTCTAAGGCTTTACAACACTCTACTGGACCTCGAATTTTAACGTGATACGGGTCGATAAAATCGGCTTTTCACTTACTTTTACAGTCAGAACTATCTGTAGAAGAACGGAAATCAGTGGTGGTACCAACAGGGCAGGGAATACAGAAGTTTTCACCAGAACTAGGTTGATAGGTTCCATGTTTACACTGTTCACATCTTTGTCTTCTCAAGTTATAAAAATAACCTTTTCTACATACCTCTGAAAACAGAAGCATGCATAACAAAACCAAATCCAATGTAAATAAGCTGATGTGAAGAAACAACTAAAAGTAGGCCTATTGTTATACCCTGTTGTTTTAAACTTTTACAGTTCAAGGGAAAAAGTCATTAAAATATTTGCTTGAAAATGCGATTTTTTTCACCGCAACTTTGCATTTTAACAGTAGGCCTACATATCAGGTTGAAGGTAATCAAAAACTGCAGGATGTTGAAGGTTTAAGAGTGACCCTAAGTGACCAATTACGGCGATTAGATACATCAAGAAGCAATACGGGATGTTGAACGTTTAAGTGACCAATAAGAGAGACCCCGAGTGACCACATACCACGACAAGATGAGCCATGATGATTAGTGACCAAGTACCGCGATAAGACGAACCGGGAAGCAAACATAAAAAAAAGGATGATGAAGGTTATCTGATCAATTACAGTGGCTTTACGTGTCCAAATACCGCCGAATCCTGCTCCAAAAGCAATTCATCCGGTGACCATCTTAATCCAAATTGGCTTATTTTACCTTTAGTTGTACAATCTCTGAAGTGACTGGCCGCTATTTTTCTGGTTAATAATCCAGGACCACAAGGCATACACATGGTGCGGCCATACTGTGGTTGGTATTTGCCTATTTCACATGGTTTACATGGTTTTAAACCCTCTTCTGAATAATGTCCTGGTTCACATAGTTCTGTTAAAACAAATATAGATAAGTTTAATGCCAATTTGATTAAGATACAGATCTTGACAATTTGTTTCGTGTTTTCTGAACTCGAAACTGAAGACACATTTACCAAAGTCTCTTAATTGCCAGCACTTGCAGCAAAAGTATGTCCTAAAATTGTGCAGGTTTTCAATGCTATAGTATATAATTATCAATACTGATTGTCTATCGACAATCAATCAAGAAGAAAATGAAATTTGAAATGAAAATGGAAATATTCACCAAGACATTGTAATGCGTTGGCTGCCCCTTCAACACCAGAATTAGGAATCTTCGATGGACATTTCTTGCATTCTGTTCTCCCTTCCTCGTCTTGAAATGTACCACTCGGGCAAGGCAGACATTTCTTTTCATGCTTACTCATATAAGTACCGATACTGCATGCAACTAAAGTGGACAAAGAATAGCCAGGTTAAACTTTCAAAATGATTGCCTTAAAGATAATCTTAATTTGTTGTATCGGTTAAGAGTTATTATTTCCCTTTAATTCAACTCTGATGATGGGTCAGTGAATAAGTGAATATCATAAATCATTATCTATATTTCTGATGGACATCATTGAATCTAGTGCAGTGATGCCTAATAAACTTCATGATAAAATGTGAAACTTAAGCTAAGATTCTATATACGCGTCATGCGGATCCGTCATGCGTCATCCGTCATGCGTTAAAAATCGAAATGGTTGGTTTAAGAGGGTATGATTCCATATATGCGGAAGCGGTATCCGTCAAATGGTCTCCGTCATGCGTCAAAAAAAAATCGCCAGGTGTAGCGATTCCCTGCCTTTTTTATGCACCAAAGCATCCATCTGTTTAGAAGTCCGTGCGTCAAAAGAAAGATAACGCATACGTTTAACGCACATATGAATTCATATTTGACGCATGACGGATCCGCAAGGGTCATTTATGTCCGCATGACGCATCCGCATAACGCGTATATGGAATCTTAGCTTAACGTGGCAACTATTGATTTCTCCTGGACAACGCGTTATTAATCTGCACCTCTGTTAGGATATCGAAGACGGCTCGTTTTTATTCCGATTTTCAACTACCGATATATTTTTGTAATTTGTTTCATCAGAACCACACAGCGCTTTTTCCATTTCAACTTCTCACTTTTTCGTCAGAGGATATGATTGGTTGTATCCGCTGGCGTACAATCCAAAGAAATCGCTGCATTTATAACATCTGTGATATAAGAAGGTTTTTGACAGTCAAGGTATCATACTAAGATCGTGACTTTGACATTGTGAAAAGCCCTACATCACTGACTAAGTGTTGGAGCAAATATCATGCATTCCGCCCTGACAGGTAACATATGTGCAAGTCCAAAGCAATTCAATAACAAAACCTCAACTTACTACAAATATTATTTTTAAGGATGCTACCATGTTTACATGTCATATCGTAATGTTTATCTGCTTTAAACGATTTCTTTATAACTTCATAATTAAAACCTTCATATCTGTTGATAAAAAGCATGTAGCATTTATATAACAGAATAAATTTGGCCTAGCTTAAATAAAAATGGTTCTGTGGCTAATAGTGCTGTAATGGACAAAATGTACAAGTTTCAATGAGTTCACTTTGAGTCACGCGTTTTTCATGGCGGTTAGCTTGGTTCGTGATGGGGTTCCTGTAAGTATGCCAGGCACGTAGTTTCGTATGACCCGATAAAAGAAAAAGATAAAAGATATCAATTTGCCTATACCTCACTGTAAATTTTTCCTTTTTAATCGTTCTTCTCAATATTTTTATAGCTTTCTTTAGTTTTCTCTGTGTTCGTCTACTCATACACTCAAAATCACATTTTCCTAAAGTAAAGAACCGTCAGAATCTGTCAAGAATTATTTGTGGCTGGGCCCAATTAACCGTAGACATCAGACCATCGACGAGGTCATCTCTTTTTTGCCTGCCATATTGCATTATCGCTTACATTTCAATCAGTGATATTCCGCTTTGCAGAAAAATCATTTTCAAAGAGAAAGTGTTGTCATATTCCTCGCGAAGCAGACACTGGTTGAGAAGATCATGTGTCTAATGGCTCCATCTAACACCATTGTCAAGCCCTCTAACTGGAATCCTATTGATACAACAAACCTCAAGTACTAACGATTCGAACCGCAAAACGAAATCCAAAATGACAGTTTGGCAATACATTGGTAGCCTTTTCATATGAGTAAGTATATCAATTATTATAACTCGTGAAGTTTTTCATAATGCAAAGTGGTATCAGTTGTCAAGAAGAGTAAGTATACCCTGTCTCCAACACTTATGGCTTACTAACTAAATTAACTTACTAGAATGTTTTCTGGAATCCATCTGTAACTCGAACTCGGCTGTTATCAGGCTTTTAAAGGTTCCTCTCACCATATTCCTAAATTTCTTCCTCCGAGATCCACAATTTAATTGTAAATAATTTATACTACATTTATGACTACATTTAAACTTCTTTTGTTCTAAAAAATGAAAGACTGCTTATTATATATATATTTTTGACAAAGACAACAAGAAAGATGTCTGAGATCCTAAAGAATAATGAGAAAAGATGACTTTTTAAGACCACCAAACGTTTAAACGTCGACTGAAATTAAAACCCACGACCACCATTTGTTAGACATGGGCTAACACAAATAAATAACGTCAGGATTACACAAATTGGCTACCACCCGTTGTCAATTTCGTCAGGGTCAATATTTCGAATATATTCTTTTACAATAAAGTGTAGCAACCAAAAAGCACAAATCATCAATGATCTGATTAAGAACATACATGTGTTCCTTATTCTAAACTAAATGTTACGTTTCGTGTATTTTCTAAGCAGGTGACTCCACTTCCAGCACCAAATGGAAACTGTTTTGTTACATGATAGCTATTGATCAATGGCGGCGAAAGCCTCCCGAGACTGAGGTACAAATAAGGGGCAGACTGACTAAATGGGGAGACAACTGTCGAGGCTTAATTAGAAATTCGGCAACTCTGTGGATGCGTCTTGTCGCAAGCCTCTCATGGAGCGCTAGAAAAGGTTCTCCCAAGAAAATATCCTTCTTGACTTGGTGAATTCTAACAATACTTTGGGACAAAAAAGTATAAAAACCAAATTTTTGAATTTGTTCAAATAAAGAGGGGTATAATTGGGGTGCAAACCGTTTTGCAAATTGGCGTCTAGGCCATTAAAATACAAATATTCTGCTCAGTAAGATCTCTGTTAACGTGTTTTATCAGACCATATTAAACTATTTGGTGACACATTCGGACTACAGATCGATGGACATGTTAGGGACAAAAATGCAAAAAAACAGCACTTCAATCAGAAAATTGTTATCCAGCCCCGATTCTGAATACCACCCTTGGAATTCTATTGACTTCTGACTTCAATCGATAGTTACAAAGCAAATGGTACTTTGTTTACAAACAAAAGATAAGATTTTGTAATTTCAATCAATTTTATCAGTTGTAAGTTAGAAATCTTGAGATAGAAATAAAAGAACACACCTTTAACTCACCATTTAAAAACTCGGTTAAATTTGTTTTTAACACTTCTAATGCCTGGCGATGAAAACTGCATTCATCCATTATAAATACAAATCTTGCTTTCCGTTTAAAGCTGGGTGGTCTAATAGATTCTAAAACAAAAAGAAGTTGATTATATCATGGCAAACACAAGACGATTTCTTTTTATATTCGATATATTTACTTGAACTGAGTTGTATGTCTGGTTGTGTGACCTCGTGTGAAAAGAGCTTTTCACATTGTCAACTACTGGAAATGATGATTTTAATCATAATGAGAAGATTGTGGTGACGACGATGAAGACCATACAGACAACGGTGATGACGATGATGATAATGATGATGGAGATCATGATGGTGACAGTGACGATGATGATGATGGCGAATATGTCGATGTCTAAATTAAAGTAAGGTTTGTCTACAACTACAATTCAGCTTTCTAGATTACATCAAAGCCAGAAAATTATTCCTTACTTGAACAGGATGTCATCGTTGTATTGGCTCTTTCAAAATTCCACAAATATCCAGTATTTTGTCCACATTCATACACGACTTTATTTTGATTGGTACCAATGAAGCGGGAATAAGGGTCACGACATTGTAAAATAACTTGTCTGTTTCTATTAGCTAGTATAATACTTCTCATTACTGTATTGATAGGCGTTTTTAAATCTATACATCTCCATGTTTCTGAAAATTAACAATTAAGTTTCTCATTATTGTCAAAGATCGTTATGCATATTCGTAGCAATGTCCCAGTGCTTTATTTGACGTACAAATAATGGATGCCAGGACATATTTTGCCAATTTGTTCGAAGGCTTATGTCGATCCTGCTTTGTTTTAGTAGTTATGCAAAAATGACTGCATAAACCATCATTAGAAAGTGTTATCCCGACAAGCTTAGCTTACTTACTACAGACTTAGACCCATGGGATTGAATAATCATAGTTATTTGCAAAAATCGGACGGGGTCTTACCTATACAGTCTTTTTTATTTGCATGTAATTTAAATCCAGGTCTGCATGCACATTTATAACTACCAATAGTATTCTCACAACCATTTTGACATCCACCATTATTATCAGCACATTCATTTATATCTTTAATCAGACAATAAATTTTTAGGGTTCTTTGTTAGTAAAATGCATTTCAATTGATAACGTCAACTTAGCTTCGTGGACTTACAAGGGTGATCTAGTAATTTAGAAAAAAAATCGATACCAATATATTCATCGATATTCATTAACAAGCATTCACTTGTACCCTTTTTTCGATACTTTCGATACCTTAGCACGGGGCTTTAGTTTAGAGTGGAGCAATTACGGCATCCTCTCAGGGGTTCGCTTGACACGCTTTCATTGGTTCAAAACAGCCAACTTAGGACTGTAGAAAAAAAAACAGGAGACGAAAATATAAAATAAAGAAAAAAAATCATTATTTTTAAATTTATATATTTGTCATATTTTACTTGGATTGCAGTTCAGCTTTCTTCGTTTTTTCTATCAAGACCTTGTCTTGAACCTAGTTAAAGTTATGTCTGAAAAATAGTTTTTCTTACCAGCACATTTAGATCCACCATATAATTGATAGCCGTCTGAACACTGACAATAATAACTTCCAGGAGTATTTATACACATATGATCACAGGTACCATTGACTGTACATTCATTAATATCTACAATATACAAATAATATAGATCTGTGTAGATTAATATCTACAATATACAAATAGTATAGATCTGTGAAGATAAATATCTACAATATACAATAAATATAGCAATGTGTATATCAATATCTACATTATTATACAATTAATAATGCTCGGTATAAATCAATATCTACAATATACAATTAATGTAGCTCTGTATACATCAATATCTACAATATACAATTTATATAGCTCTGTATACATCAATACCTACAATATCATACAATTAACATTGCTGATGCATCAATATCTACAATATACAATTAATATAGCTCGGTATACATCAATATCTACATTAAACCCTTAATGTAGCTCTGTTTACATCAATATCTACATTATCATCATACAATTAACAATGCTGATGCATCGATATCTACAATATACAATTAATATAGCTCTGTATACATCAATATATACAATATACTATTAATATAGCTCTGTATACATCGATATCTACAATATTATACAATCAAAAAAGCCTTTAATCATATAGATCATTATAATGCATGCAGCTTTATATTTATCAATATCAATTTGTATACATCGATATCCACAATATACAATTAATACAGCTCTCTATACGATATAAAATGATATGCAATAAATACAGTTCTGTATACATCGATATCTACAATATTCAGTGTACATCATTATCTACAATATAAAGCGAATGCATGTCTGTATACATCATTATCTACGAGTAAAACATTGAAACAACAGTCAACTGGCTAAGAGTACAGCAGCTTTACTCTACGATTTGTGATGGCGCACTAAAGGGAATATTCATTGCTTTATTTCATATAGAATTCTGATTTGTGCAGATACATACAGAAAATTAACATCTATCTTGAGTTCATTTGCAATAATAGGGCCGTATGTCGTGTATTCGGTTGTAAAGAGCGATATGTGATATTTGCTTTTTTTAAATATCCGAGGTACCGACTCATATGAGAAGGACAATCGATGCATAACTATGGTTAGCGGCAAATTCATATTTTTCACTTGTCCTATTTCATATACGTTAGTATCACTGTCAATTTATCACTTGAGAACATAATAATACGGTATGAGTATGACATTTTTAAAAAATATAACACCATCACAATATGATACATGTAGTTAATGACGCATTAAATCTTTTCATTTATTTTACTATTCAATTTCTACCAATTCTTGTCATAATTTGTTGTCTCAAAAATGATTTATGGCTAATTTCAAGTTTTGCAAGAAAAGATTTGAATAGAATAATTTCAATAGAGAAACAAAATAAGCTAAGTAAAGTCATTAAAGTTGAAAATAGCCATCAACTTCTGTCAGCTTCCAGCTGAGCTTTTCTTTTTTCTGTCTAAGAATTTGAACCCTTTAACACCTCTTAAGGTATCAAATGAACTCGAATTTTGATGAATATATGATTACATATAGGACATTGGTAAAGGTCACTACACTATTCGACTATAGAATCTTGATAAAGCTATTAAAAGACAAGGTACCAATTTAAAAATAGCTGTTGGTGCCCTGTTAATACTGTCCGAATGGTACAAAAAATTCAAACCCTTTTAAACACTAAGCACACGTTTCAAACTTTCGAAATCGTGAAAGTTAAGTAATTTTCCCTGGTTTGAACTGTTAATGTGGATTTGACAATTGAAATGTTTATCAAAAGGCAAATAAGTACTTTAAAAGATTGAACCTATCTCGCTTTTTAATTTTCTTGAAACTCAAAAACCCGAAAGTAATAGGTTCGAGCATGACTTTGGTTCTTGGAATAGCTTAGTCGGTAGGGAGTTGGAGTGTCGTCTGCTGAGTGGTCGGGTGCGGTGCGTTCGAAAACTCCTTAAAAGAATAATTCTGAAACCATTACCGTCATTCGTAATTAAAATCTATAGCATTTTGGAAAATGATGGTAGACAAGCATTGGTAAACAATGATGATCTGATCAACAATCCATTAAAACATTTCCTCATCATCCCTATTGACCTATTACAGCTGTAAATGGAAATGGATAATTCGGCAAAATGCCAAGAGTATCGTCAATGGATCTAAAATATGGATTTTTTCTGGAACACCCCCATCCACCACCAGATCCTTTTCCCCAAATAATATTTAAACTAAGATCTAATTTTCAGTATACGAATGTTTTCCAGTATTTAATAGGAAACTAAATTACAACACTTTTCATACAAGCAATATTATTTTCTTTAAAATACACATAACAGCAAGGTCAACTTGATACGAGAATGGTTAAATTTGAGACATTTTTTTTAAAGATTAAGATATTTAAATACAAGTGAAGTTGACAAGATCGTGTGACATCTAGAGAACTTAAGGTTGAGAACATACACATGTTCTCCTATATCAACGCATTCTTTCATTGAATACGCATTAAATAGAGAAGTGGGATGGTTTGACACAGCTCTCTTAAAGAGTTTAGATATATCTTGTTGTTTACAGAAATGAAAATACTTTCAATTCAATGAAAAGTCGCTGAAATTCTATGTTTGAACATAAATTTGTCCTTTGTTACAAGCAGTGGCTCAACTACCATAGGGACTACCAAGCGGGACCCCGCCCCCAGAAAAAAAATATACAAAACTAAAAATAAACGTACCAATATTAAGTATCTAAAAGGTAAACACAATTATAAAATGGTCTTATGGTGGGCCCTAGCATGGGCAATATTAGACCATGTCATTATTAAAAGAATATAATCTAGTCGAACCACTGATTACAAGCATTATGCAATTAATGACCTCTCCTGCATTGTTTGTTGTTTTTACAGTAATGAATCAAGCTTATATGGAAAAAGGGTCTTCAAATTGGACAATAAATCGAGGCTCCGTGCTACAGGCTGTGTACGTTAAAAAAACTCGACAGTTGGGAATTGAAAAAGAGTAGGGTAATGAAGCTGTCCTGGCAAAATTTCCTTATTGCACACTGCATGGCGCTGTCCGTCTTCATTAGCCCACATGGTGCAGAAAAGTATGACGTAAAACTCCATTCATTTCATTTAATCTCATCAAATTTATGCTTGATATATAACATGAAATGAATTCAACTCAATTATCTATGAATTCAGTTATGGATGAAATATACAAAACTTCAACTAAATACTAACTGAACTAACTAACTAAAATACAATACACGTACTAGAAGCTACAATTTAGAATGTATGATTTCATGGAAATGTATGACCTTTACATTTCATTTATAATCATCAATGCAATGCATATATCTTATGTATGATATTTATAAAGGTATGACTTTGAAACAAACTTATATTTGTCATACCTTATCGAATTATATCGCATTTATCAATCAATATCGAAAAAAATTGTCGTTGAACAAATACAAGAAAAGTATGATCAATTGAGTGATGAATTATGATCAAATATGTGAAAAAGTATGATCAAATATTTGAACAAGTATTATCAAATACGTGATAGAAGTATGATGGAATAGAATTTAAATGCGCAATGCATAAAAGTATGATAATCAAATCATGAATATTTCCATACACATTTTGATTACAGATGTCACATCATGTGTCAATAGAAAATGGTCTGTGAAAATGGAAATGTAACCTACCCTGGAATATAAGTGAAAAGGTATGGTCTAATACGTGATTCATTCATAAAGCATGATCAAATAAGTGATAAAGTATGACCAAATACATTATAAAGGTATGATCAAAATGTGATAAAGAAATGTGCAATGTATAAAAAGTATGATCAATTGAAAGTTTATCGAAAAAGTATATTTTCAAACATATTTTAAAACACATTTTGACTATAGCGGTGACATGTGTCTATATAAAATGGTCTGTGAAAATGGAAACGTAACCTACCTGGTAAATCCTGTCTTTTAGCCGACGGGTTCGATGTAATCCAATAGATTAATATCATCAAACATAATAGTAGATAGCGACATGAAGGCATATCAGCATTACTTGAGTCTAGCCAATCGACAAACAAGGTATTTGACAAACTATTTAGTATGTACATCCATCGCCACTCTATTTACTATCAATTAATTCTTCATTACTTAATTTTCACACAAACTCGTTACACATTTCTTACGTGCCTTTGGAATTTGATTGGTCCCTGAAAGCCACATCCTTGAATACATTCAAAATTTCAGTGCAACGTCCAACTATACAGCTCATGATAAGTACATCTCTAACATTGTGTATACTATAACCGTTAATAAATTCTATATCATACCCATTCACATAAATAACTGGTCTGAAATGAAAATTGAGATGGTTATTTAATATGTTTAAAATTTCTTGAGTCTGTCGAGCGAATATCTGTTTATTTTACACGATTTTTAATTTTACTTTTTAAAACTTAATGTGTATTAAAATGCAAGGCGTGACCTTATGACGGGGAAA